GTGGTGGGCACCAGCCACATGCCCATCTTGTGTCCTCCTCACCAAGCGTCGGAGTACGTCAACACCAAGGGCTACTACTCGATGGCCTTGCAAGCTTTGGTGGACCATCGAGGGAAGTTCACCCATCTGAGCGCGGGGTGGCCCGGCAAGACCCATGAAGCCAAGATCTTCAACAAGTCCACCTTGTTCACCAAAGGGCAGGAAGGGACTCTCTTCGCTCCCGGTTCTGTGGAGATCAACGGCATATCGGTCCCTCGGGTCATCTTAGGAGGACCGGCCTACCCTCTCCTTCCGTGGTTGATGGTGCCCTACACGGAAGGTCTGGATGAGACCAAGGAGGCCTTCAACGTCACGTTGAGCCGGTGCCAGGAACCCCTGGAAGAAGCCTTCAGCCGCCTGAAGGGCCGGTGGCGCTGCCTGACGGGACGCAACGATTGCGCGGTGGAGAACCTTCCCCGCCTCATCTCGGCCTGTTGCGTCCTGCACAACATCTGTGAGGAGAAAGGGGAGGCCTACGAGGAGAAGTGGGAAGTGGAGGCCAGGCAGCTGGCCGCCACCTTCGAACAGCCCCTGCAGCGGCCCGATACGCGCATTAAGCCCGCCGCACGGTCGGAGAACGTCCGGGACGCTCTCTGCATGTACATCGCCGGGAAGATATGAAGAGCGGAAGGAGGCCGGCGGTGGTGCTGCGGGTTATTTTGGGGAGATCCAGCCTGAATTGAGACTTTGCGCCCAGGACGTGGTCAGGTTGCACCCCAAAACAGTACCCAGAATTCTGGGTAGCATTAAACCAGCAGATTATATTCTTGAAATTGATTTTGGGGTGAAGAGTTGAGAAATTTAGGGTAGAGAATCCATAGATTAGTCAGTGTTTCACAATCTTGGCCACTTTTAAGATGGGTGGACTTCAACTCCCAGAATTCCCCAGCCATTCTGGGAATTGAAGGCCGCATGGCTTAAAGTAGCTGAAGTTGCTGACCTTCATGTTGGCTGAGGAATTCTGGGAGTTGAAGTCCCCCCATCTTAAAAGTGGCTGAGTTTGCTAACCTCCATATTGTCTGGGGAATTCTGGGAGTTGAAGTCCCCCCATCTTAAAGTTACCATGGTTGCTAACAGCCATGTTGTTTGAGGAATTCTGGGAGTTGAAGTCGCCCCATCTTAAAGTTACTAAGGTTCCTAAAAGCCATGTTGGCTGGGGAATTCTGGGAATTGAAGTCCCCCCATCTTAAAGTTACCAAGGTTATTAACGGCCATGTTGTCTGGTGAATTATGGGAGTTGAAGTCCCCCCATCTTAAAGTGGCTGAGTTTGCTAACCTCCATATTGTCTGGGGAATTCTGGGAGTTGAAGTCCCCCCATCTTAAAGTTACCATGGTTGCTAACAGCCATGTTGTTTGAGGAATTCTGGGAGTTGAAGTCGCCCCATCTTAAAGTTACTAAGGTTCCTAAAAGCCATGTTGGCTGGGGAATTCTGGGAATTGAAGTCCCCCCATCTTAAAGTTACCAAGGTTATTAACGGCCATGTTGTCTGGGGAATTCTGGGAGTTGAAGTCCCCCCATCTTAAAGTGGCTGAGGTTGCTAACAGCCATGTTGTCTGGGGAATTCTGGGAGTTGAAGTCCCCCCCATCTTAAAGTGGCTGAGGTTCCTAACAGCCATGTTGGCTGGGGAATTCTGGGAGTTGAAGTCCCCCCATCTTAAAGTGGCTGAGGTTCCTAACAGCCATATTGTCTGGGGAATTCTGGGAGTTGAAGTCCCCCCCATCTTAAAGTGGCTGAGGTTCCTAACAGCCATGTTGTCTGGGGAATTCTGGGAGTTGAAGTCCACTTATCTTAAAACTGCTGAGGTTGAGAATCACTGCCTTACGCGGACTTGTATCCTTCGCGTAAGTAGGGAGTGAGTCATTTAAATTACCACGGACACTTGTTTTGCAAAGCAGATTAACCACCCCAGTACCGTTTATCTGCCTCCGCAGAGTGTCTGGGGAAATGAAACACACCCTGTATTTAATTCTTTAATTCATATTAGAGGATGATTGAGGATATGCATGGGCCTCCTGCCAAAAATTGCAATCGGTGCACCATGGGTTTCCTGGTGATGCAGATCCCGGCTCAAGCCCAGGCTTGTATCCATGTAAACCTGGTTAACAGTCTTCTCTAGCTAGCATGGTAGCTAAGAGACTCCCCCCCCCCGAGAGTCAGCGAGATGAACGGCAAATAAATTTAATACATAATAATAATAATAATAATAATAATAATAATAATAATAATAATAATAATAAAAATAAAAATAAAAATAATAGAAGGGAGCACACCAGATTGGGGTATGTTCCTATAGGATCTTTTTTAAAAAAAAAACAAACCAGCTTTTTTTGGTGATGTTAGACCGGGTTTAGAACGGAAGCCAAAAGACTCATGAGGACTAGAATCTTTGCAGACGTCGGATCCATTTTAACTTTGTTTATTCCAGTTCAATGCCGCCCAAAACTGCAAATCGGTACCGGAGTTGGTAAATCTTTTCAGAGCCGCTGGGAGGGAGGGAGCCAATATATATATATAATTTAATAAATCAGTATTATGCTTCATCAAACACTATTTTCGGTCAGGAAAGAGTCAAAAAAACAAGTCAATATGTCAGCTTGAAACCCCTTTTATAATGCCGATCAAAAATGGGTGAATTTCGGTCACCCTGCATATTATTTATTTCACTGTTCCCATTTCATGTATTGATTTATATCCTGCCTTATTTTTACAAATAACTCAAAACAGGCGAATGTATCCAAGACGCCTTCTTCCTTCCTATTTTCTTGCCATTGTTTAAAATCTTTTCTTCCCCCGCCCCGGAACGTCCCAGCTATTATTATACAGCTAGTCCTTGACTTACAACCGTTCTTTTGAGTGACCGTTGGAAGTTACGACGGTACTGGGGGAAAAAAAGTGATTGATGACTGATCAAAATTCAAATGCTTGGCAACTGGCATGGACTTATGACAGTTGCGGGCTCTCCGGGGTTGGGGTCACGCAATCCCCTTTTGCAACCTTCTGACCAGCAGAGTCCATGGGGAAGCCGGATTCACTTAACGACTCGGTAAGGTCGTAAAAGGAGACAAAACTCGCTTAACTGTCTTGTTTAGCAACATGAGTTTTGGGCTCCATTGTGGTCATAAGTCGAGGACTATCGGCGTCGGGCATTTTCCGTTACTGCATAATTCATTTCTGTCGTTAAAAGATCTGCCGTTGCATTTGTACGACGCAATTAAGGTACAAAATTCTCAATTTCACGAGGCCCGATTAACCTGTTTTCCGGTTTGCCTCGTGCCTTAAACCGTACACCCGGCCAAACAGGATGATGGAAACCACAATAAACGAAGAATTAAAGGATGATTTACCGGCGTGCCTCTGACACAAGCTATATTTCGGTTTCTCGAAGGCCGGTTCCACGGCTCGCCAAAAGAAAGTGAGTCCCAAAAAAATTCTATTTAAGCATTTCCCTAAGCTTGAGTTAGAATCCGGCTGCTAAAAATTCCAGCTGTAAAGTTAAGAAAGTGCAAAGAGATCCGAGGTCAGGATGAAACAATGTTGTGACATCACAAAATGTACACAACCCATGAGGCTTGCATGATGGGAAGGTTGCCGGCTGGGGTGAAATTGAAGCAACTCTTTTCCTCCATGAGGACTATAAACTTGTCAAGGGAGCCCAACCATGTGACTGGAGAACTTGAAAGGGAATAAAACAGATATATAATATATATGTGTGTGTGTGTATATATGTATATGTATATATGTATGTATGTATGTATGTATGTAGGTCTTTGGTTATTCGCGTAAAATTGGAAGTACCTTGGCGACGTTTCGACGAAGTCTCATTCGTCATCTTCAGGCTGGTGTCTTCGGCCTTGTGCTTCTAGGAGCAATGTGTGATCGTGGTTGTTTCTTCTTTTTAACTGCCAGTGGGGTATGAACTGATTGGGTGGGAGCATGGCTGTGTTCTGATTGGGTGGAGATGTGTTCTGATTGGGAGGGGGCTTGGCTGTGATCTGATTGACTGGGGGTGTGTTCTGATAGGGTGGGGGCTTGGCTGTGCTCAGGTTGGTCTGAGTTGCAGGGGGATTTGAACTCGTGGCCTGCGTTGCTTTTTTTTTGGCTCCGCATTTGTGGTCGTGCTACATCTTCATGGTGTGTTGTCAGTTTGCTTCATGTATGGATTGGAGAGGTTTAACCCCCCCCCAAGCCAATCAGAGCACAGCCAAGCCCCCTCCCAATCAGAACACACCTCCACCCAATCAGAACACAGCCATGCTCCCACCCAATCAGTTCATACCCCCACTGGCAGTTAAAAAGAAGAAACAACCACGATCACACATTGCTCCTAGAAGCACAAGGCCGAAGACACCAGCCTGAAGATGACGAATGAGACTTCGTCGAAACGTCGCCAAGGTACTTCCAATTTTACGCGGGAGAAAACCCGAATAACCAAAGACCTACATACAAATACCCGCGAAAACCTCAGAAAATAAATATGTGTGTATGTATATATATATGTGTGTTTTTCTATCAAGGCACCTGGTTTACCCCAGCATGTGGGAGGGAGCATACCCAGATTCGAACTTGGATTCGAGTAAGGGTATGGCTAGCTGATGAGAGCTAAATAGCTTGAAATAGATCTATACTAGTCTCCCTTTATTTCTTTATCAGCAAATATAAATTTGGTATAAAATGGTTTGTCGTGAATGCGACTGCTTGAGGGCTCCTGGATTGGAGCTGAAAGGCAAAAGGGAAGCAGGATGCCCCCTCCCATATTGGGGTAGACCAGGTGCTTGAGATTTGGAGTGGTGTGTGAGGTGGAACTCTCGCCTCACAATCAGGAGGCTTATGAGTTCGATCCTAGGTAGAGGCAGATATTTCCCTCTCTGGGCACAAATGAGAATATATCTGCTGAACAAAACTCCTCACTGGTGACAGGAAGGGCATCTGGCCAGTAAAACACTTGGTTAGCTCCATTCAGTTGACCAGACTCCACCCCGCCAAGGATTATGGGGTCGTTAAAAGAAAACGATGGACCTTGAGATTTTATTTTTTTTTGCTGAGTGATGATGAGGATGCCTGGGGTGCATTTATTGGAAAACGGCAAATTGTGTGTTAGGGATGGAAAAATGAAAAGGCCGACAGTGTCATTGTTGTGGTCCGTCAGCAGCCCACGGAGCTAGCAGCAAAGTCAGACAGTGAGGAGACCGGGGAGGACAATGGGCCAGTCCTGGAGTCTGGAGAAGGCCCGGACGAGGGCTCTGGTCGGAGGCAGAGATGGGGCCAGGGAGTGGGAGTGATGCGCGGACTCCGGAGCCCCCAGAGTCGGACAGCAGAGAGGTGGAGGAACAGGAGGAGCCTGTTCCTAGTGCGCGCATGCGCAGAGCTGCCAGAAGGCAAGAGCAGCTAAAGCAAAAAGGACGACTCAGGAGTAAGGCCAGGAGATGATTGGCCCCCTCCCATAAGGCTTAAAAGAGCAGCAAAGGCTCTTGGGCTCTTTGTAGGAAAGCAAGGTTGCTAAATCTGTTTTCCAGTCGGCATCTCTTGTTTCTGAACTTCGTGGGGCTTTGCCAAGGAAGACCTATGGAAGGGTGCCAAAGAAGATAAAGGTTTGTGATAAGCCCAAAGGACTTTTTCTGAAGGATTTGTTTTGGAATTAATTTGGACTAAGCTGGGAATAAAGTAATTCTCAGCTGTTATAATAAAACAGTTTCGTTTGAGACTAATTGTGTCCTATAATGACTAAGTGAGCTTAGGTCACAACAGTAATGTCATCAGATGCATCTTTGCTGCCAGGGAATCCTGGGAGTTGAAGTCCACGCCGTAAAAGCCGCCGAGATTGAAATACACCGATTTATAACTCTACAGTTTTCAACCGAAACCGCCTGGCGAGCATTACTGAGTGATACCAGCCTCAACCAACGAGCAAAGCAAAACGACAAATGAAAAATGAGGGGCAGAAAAAAAAAAAATTAAAACAACATTTCAATTTGGAAACGAATCAAGGCTACGACCCACCTTGCAAAGACGCACAATACAAATGAAAATTCAAATCCAGTCCACGTTGCATTTACAGAACTCCGGAAAATAATTCTACAAACCCAGCTGGAGAGGGGCAGAAATTCCATTTCCTGCATGTTTTATTTCGTGCAAATGTCTTGATTTTTTTTTTTTTTTTACACCGTGGACTAACTCCGTAAAAGGTACAGCCGTAGAGCCATCATCCTGGATTAAAAAGTCATTTTCCTACAGGACATTTTTTTTTTAAAAAAAATCCTCAGTTTCTTTGTCCAATTCATTTATTCACTTTCAACCCTGTAAATTTCAAATCTCTCTTGCGAGAGCACTTAGCAGCATGAGACAAAACTATATTAATATCTATTATCTTTTCTAACAGGAACTGTGCCCCCCCCCCAAATAATATTACAATATATTTACACACCATTCAAAAAGCGTATCAAAAATCAAGACAAGAATCCTCGACGTACGACTGTAATCGAGCCCAAATTTACTATGACTCAGCAAGACAGTGGCGAAGGGAGTTCTGCATTTTACGACCTTCCTCGCCGCCGCCGTTAAGCGAACCACGGCAGTTAAATGACTCGCACGGTTGTTAAGCGAGTCCGGTTTCCCCGTTGACTTGGCTTGTCAAGATGGTCGCAAAAGGGGATCGCGTGACCCCCGGGAACATTTGCAACCGTCATAAATATGAGTCGGTTGGCAAGTATCTGAATTTGGCTCGCGTGGGGAGGCTGCAACGGTCGTGGGAAAAACAGACATAAGTCTTTTGTTTTTCAGCGCCATAACTTCAAACCGTCACTAAGTGAATATTTGTAGGTTGGACGCTGCCTGTAATATAAGGAAGTCCCCTTTAAGAATATCTTCTACTGCAAGGGATGTCAAACTCGAGGCCCGTCGGCCAGATCCGGCCTGCAATGTGGTTGGATCCAGTCGGTTCAGACCGGTTTAAGCGAACCGGTAACGGTGATCTGCGGATGCTCACCTGCCCCGGCGCTATGCCGTCCTATTTAGCCATTTAGCCGCGCACATGCGTGCAAGCCACCCAGTCGGCCACGCCCACCCCCCGCCCGAGGTCAACCACCGCCCCGATGCGGCCCTCAATGAAATCGAGTTTGATACCCCCTGTTCTACTGCATTCCAGATGTTCATTTTTTTCCCAATTTTGGCCTCAGCAAGCGCAGATTTACTTCCGGAAACGTTACCCAAAGGGGCCACCACTAAGAAGGCCCCGCTTCTCATCACTACACTGCAGGGCAAGTTTTTTTTTTTTTTTTGGCTTTTGTTTTGGTGAACAGCTCGTGCTTCAAAATTGCAAAGCCTCTGACACGTTGGAGCTGACTTGCAGCTGCAGGACCGAGGAATTAATTCAACGTTTTTGTCAAAACGTTTTTGTGACGCGGGACTTTTTCACACCGAGAATTCCCCAAGCGGCAAGTATTTTTGTATGTGGCTGGAAAACCTCTGCACATCTGGAATTTTTTTTTTTCTTTAATTTATATGCCGCCCTTCTCTGGAGACTCAGGGCGGCTTACAATGCGTTAAGCAATAGCCTTCATCCTTTTTTGTATATTTATACAAAGTCAGCTTATTGCCCCCACAATCTGGGTCCTCATTTTACCTACCTTTGAAAGGATGGAAGGCTGAGTCAACCTTGAGCCTGGGGAGATTCGAACTTGCAGTAATTGCAAGCAGCAGATGTTAATAACAGTGCTTTAGTCCACTGTACTACAGGCTCTTGTTAAGAGGCAGATGCTATGTACAGGTAGTCCTCGACTTAAGAACAATTCACTTAGCGACACTTTGAAGTTAGAACGGCCCTGGGGGGGAAAAAAACGACCGGATCATTTTTTAGAATTGTGACTGTGGCAGTATTTCCCGTGGTCATGTGATCAGAATTCAAACACTTGGCATTTTATTTCATTTTTATAATCGTATTTTATAATTTGGGCCGTATCAAAAAGTGCAGAGTTCCAGAAAACAAATTATATACTCAAAGCAATTGAAAACGGAATTGGATAAAATAGGATTTAAAATGAAGTTGGAATGAAATACAGTCCAAAATGAAATTGGAATAAAACAGGGGGGAAAAAAAAAAACACTTGGCAGCTGACTCAAATTTATGACTGTCGCAGAGTTTTGACGAGCAAAGTCCACGGGGATGCCAGATTCATTTAACAACCGTGGTGCTCATTTAGCAACTGTTGTGATTCACTTAACAAAGAGTGGTGTGGTGGCTTAGAGGTGGAGCTCACACCTCACAATCAGGAGGCTGTGAGTTCGATTCTAGGTAGAGGCTGATATTTCTCTCTCTCTGCACTCAGAATATATCTGCTGAACAAAACTCCGCATTGGTGACAGGAAAGGCATCCGGCCAATAAAACACTCAGCTCCATTCAGTTGAACAGACTCCATTCTACAACGGATTTACGGGGTCATTAAATGACCAAAAAAAAGTGATTCACTTAACAAATCAAAACGTCATAAGATGGGGCAAAACTCCCTTCGCAAATGTCTCACTTAGCAACAAAAATGTCGGGCTCAATCGTGGTCGTACATCGAGGAGTACCTGTTTACGGTGGGAAGAACGTTGCTGCACATCTGGAATTGGGAAGGGAAGATATTTGGGTTTCACAGCGTAGCCAGGGAAACTGCGTGGAAAAATCCTTGGAATCAGCAGGAATTGAAATACAGGGGAAGGAATTTTTTTTTTCCTAATCTTTTTTTCAAAATTAGGAAGAAAAACAAGGGGGAAAATGAGTTACGGATTTGTTAGATGGAGAGGTATGTAAATTAGAGAAATAAATTTAAAAGCAAAACGGGTTGGAGCGGCACATAAGAGGATGGATTCCCCATCACATCTGCAGCAGATGCATTGGTGGTTCAGTGGTAGAATTCTCGCCTGCCACGCGGGAGGCCCGGGTTCGATTCCCGGCCAATGCAACTGACTTTTATTTTTTCTGGGAAAGTTTTTCCCCACAATTGGCACCCTGTGAAATAAAATAAGCTGCCAAAAAAAAAATCCCTCCTTCCCCACAGCTGTTTGGGGAGAAGATCCTGAATAATTTAACCAGTTGCTTTCCCCAAAATCCTTTACTTACCTCTCTGGGATCCAGAATTCTACATCGAAAATTTACAGGCAAAGTCCTCAACTTACGGCCTCAATTTGGGAATCAGGCTTTAAGCCACGTGGCTGTTAAGCGAGTCCCACTTAACAATTTTTAACGGCCTTTTCGCTAAATTCGTTAAGCGAATCAGTCGTTAAATGAATCGCTTGGCCGCTTAAACGAACCTGGCTTCCTCCATTGACTTGGCTTGTGGGAAGGTCACAAAGGACGATCAACGGGAAGCTATAACCGTCATAAGTACATGCCAGTTACCCGAATTGTGGCCGTGAGGACGCTACAACGGTCGTTAAGTGTGAAACTCAATCATCAGTCACTTATTTCCAGTTTTCTTGTCAATGGAAGACTGCTGGTATTTGGAGGGTTGCCTTTTAAAAAAACATTTACAAACAATTTTTTTAAAAAAATAAAAAATAAAAACCATTCAAAGAAACCAAACCATCAATTATTGTTACTTGAATAAGTCCCAAGTTATGCTAAACCTTGATTCTTTATAACCAGGGCTTGTTTCTGAAGCCAACATATCCCGGGCATAAAACAAGAGTTTCTAAAATCATTCCTTTAGTTAGGATCCCACAATGCCTTCAGCCAGCGCCCACCACTGCCAGTTTGGCTTTGGGCAAAGCGGGAATCCAAGTCGCTAGTCCCTAAGAACTACGTTCGTCGGAGAACCCTACGAATGGAAAAATCGGTTTGCTGTCCGCTACAATATCATGTTTTTTGTTTTTTTTAAGGAGCAAAGGGGGGGTGGTCGGGAATATTTCTGCCCTCCCTAGGGCCAGGGACGCCAGAAAGGGGGGTGCTGAGAGATGTTTTTGACTGATGTGGGGGTTCGGGGGTCTCTCATCCGGCCCCCGAGGTGTCCCGTGCTGCAGGAAGCCACACCTGAGCTTGCAAAAGTTCTGTTGCGTTGCAGCGGGGAGCCGGAAGCCCCTCGGGTTGCGGCAGTCGATTCCTCGGACGAAGAACTGGGAGAAAACGTGGGAGGGGTCCAATCCGGAGGAGACGGTTCCAACGTGGCGGCGAGATAGACGTGCAGCGTCTCCCACAAGTGTCTTTGGACGGACGGGGGGCTTCGCCGGACGAAGGATTCCAGGTGTCCGAAACACGCCCGGAAACCCATGGCGTAGCAAGTCTGCAGGCCGTCGTCTTCGGAAGGATTCGCACCTGGAACAGGGGAATTGCAAGAGCCGGGAGGAGGCTGGTCACGCCCAACCCGAGGCAAGGGCAGGCCTAACCGGCACCGGATCCAGAAACCGGCTACTTTTTCCAGCTTCGGAATCACAGAATCCCAGAGCCAGAAGGGACCTTAGAGGTCTTCTAGTCCAACCCCCCGCCAGCTCAAGACCCCCGTTTTAGACCAATGGCTGTCCAGTCTCTTCTTAAAAATCCAAAAAGGGTTGCCAAATTTTTTTGCTGGCGAGGATGTCAAAGAAATAGGAAGGTTTAAGCCCGTCCGTTCCCCAACCGGGTGCCTTCCGGAAAATTCCCGGAGAGAAATGGGAGGAAGGACTGAAACTGATTGGAGCCTACAGGTAGTTCTTCCGTTACACCCGTTGGTTCGGCGATGGTTCGAAGTTGCTGAAAAAAATAGTGACTTATGACCGGTCCTTGCACTTATGACTGGTCCTGAAACTTATGACCATCATAGCTTCCCCCCTGGTCACGCAATCAAAATTCCTGCACTTGGCAACCAACTCGTATTTATGACGGTTAACAGTGTCGACGTTGCAATGACACTGGGAAAAAAGTGACTTACGACTGATCCTCGCACTTATGACCATCGCAGCTTCCCTCCTGGTCACGCAATCAAAATTCCTGCACTTGGCAACCAACTCGTATTTATGACGGTTAACAGTGTCGACGTTGCAATGACACTGGAAAAAAATGACTTATGACCGGTCCTCGCACTTACGATCAGTCCTCAAACTTATGACCATCGCAGCTTCCCCGTGATCACACAATCAAAATTCCTGCACTTGGCAACCGACTCCTATTTATGACGGTTACAGTGCCAAAGTTGCAACGGCGCTGGAAAAAAGTGACTTACGACCAGTCCTCACACTTAAAACCGGTCCTCGCACTTAGGACCATCGCAACTTCCCCGTGGTCACATGATCAAAATTCAGGCACCTGGCAACCGACTTGTATTTATGACCGTTGCAGTGTCCCGGGGGAGGGGTGTCACATGATCCCCTTTTGCAGATTCTTTCTGATCAGCAAAGGCAAAAGGGGAAAAGCCGGATTCGCTCAACGACCGAGTGAGTCACTTCACGACGGCAGGGATCTGCTTAACCGCCGGGGGCAAAGGAGATTGTAAAATGGGGACAAGACTTACTTAACAACGACCTTGCTTCAAGTTTTACAGCTTGAAACGCTGCTGTCGTGTTTCCTCCGCCAGGCCAATGAAAACAAGATTCTAAAAACTGAGAACGGATTGTTTGAAAAAGTTGGTCTGGTTTTTAGAATTTCGGGAAATTTTGGGAAATTTTGGGAAATTTTCGATATTGACACCTTTGTCGTCCAGAGTTCACTGCATTTTGGAGTTTCCTTCCTTTTTTAAAAATTTCCTTTCGGCAAGTGGGTCAGTGGTGGTATTCACCCGGTTCGTACCGGTTCGGGCGTACCGATAGCAGAGATAGCAGGTGGGCCCGTCCACCCGCCCCGGCATAAAGACGTCCTATTTAGCTACGTTTTCAAGGCCGGGCACATGCACGGAAGGCATGTGTGCGAGCAAAGCGCATGTGCGGAAATCTGGGCGCACGCACGGATGTTGCGCATGTGCGAAGCGAGCGTGCGCGCGAGCGGCGAACTGGTGGAAAGAGTATGTGAAACCTGAAGTGGATGGCAACAATTTTTAAAAGGTTTGTTAAGAAGAGACTGGGCGGCCACGTCTTTGAAGTCGTCTGAAGGGGGTCTCCTGCCTGAGTAGGGGGGGTTATTTATTTATGTAATTTATATGGGTTGGACGAGAAGACCTCCAAGGTCCCTTCCAAAACTCTTGTTGTTTTTGAAGATGAAATTTGAAATTTCCGCGGCTGCCCTTCATGCTGGTTTTTTCCTTCCTTCCCACCTACCCACACCTGCCACGGAGGTGAATTTTACTTACCCTGGGGAATGGCTGCCTGCTTCCTCTCCTGCAGGTACCCCACGGCGAGCTCCAGGATCTCCGCTTTCTCCACTTTGGGGTTCTTGAGGGTCTGTGAAGGAAAGAGGGTCCGAGAAGAGAAGGGCTGAAAGGGCAACGCAAAACTCCTGACTCTGCCTACTAAGTGGAACCTCCCCAGCCAGGAGGAGTGTGTTGTGGCTCCGTTACCTGAGCCTGTGTCATCGGCAGGAGAGGACTCCGAGAGTGAAGGAGAGGCGTTGGCAAGGCCTCCCTCTCCAGGACCCTCCTCTCTGGCAATGCCTTCGGTGTCCGCCGAAGGGCAAGAGATAGGGCCGGGGCCAAGCACGTCCACGCAGCCACAGATGGACAGTGATGAGGGTAATGAGTCTTGGCTGGATCCACGCCAGCGTCGCAGAGATAAGCGCGCGCAACAGGAGAAAAGGCGTGCCCGAGATTAGGCTGAGTCACTGGACCACACCCCACAGGATATAAAAGGGAGCGTGGTGGCCAGTCAAACCTTGTGACGAACAAAGCTTCCACGCCATTCTGCATTGCCGGACTTTTGGCTATAGACTTTGCTGGATTATCTCTGGACTTGATTGACTCTGTAATTATTGAGCTGTTTCTTTTGATGTACCAGAAGCAGGGAGAAGTTATCTCTCCTCTTCGTAAATAATAAACTCTTGGCAGGCAGCCACTAGGTTGTTGCCAAGTTCCGTTATCATAAGGAAAAGGATTTTGCCGGCTGGTTTGGTCTTTAACTCTTGAACGTCTGTTGGTGTGTGTGTGCGTGTGGTTGGGGACAAAACAGAGTGTATCTGCATCCCACTTGAAGAGACGGAAGAGAAGAGAAGTTACCGGAGCTTCCTTCCCAACAGAGGGTGGCAGAAAAGAAGAGGAAATAATGCGAGTCTGATTGATAATGTGATTTCCCACCCCCACCCCCAAGTCTTGGCCCCTTTAAGATGGGGTGGACTTCATCTCCCAGAATTCCCCAGCCAGCCTTCGCTTCCCATGCAAATAAGCAATGGAGTCACTGACTATTTTTGCCATTTTAGGGAATACCTCTTTAAGAGCTGGGTCAAGGTAGAGCAGGAGCTCCCTCTGCTGGCAGGTCAAGAAATAAATGGATTATCCACTTCAATGCTCTTAAGAAAAATTTGAAGAGTGCAAGACTAATTTGGGCTCTGATATCTTGGCGGAGATTTAATTCTTTCATTTATTTAGATCCTACTTTTATTATTTTTTTTATAAATAACTCATGGCAGTGTACATACCTGATATTCCTTCCTCCTCCTATTTTTCTCACAACAATAACAACAACCTTGTGAGGTCGGATGGATCCAGAGTCACCCAGCTGGCTTTCGCACCTAAGGCGGGACTAGAACTCACTATCTCCTAGGTGATTGGCCCATCTAGCCAGTTTTTGTGCCTAAGGCAGGACTAGAATTCATGGTCTCTTGGTGATTGGCCCAAAGTTGTCCAACCGGCTTCCAGGTCTAAGGTGGGACTAGAACTCACCATCTCCTGGTGATTGGCCCAAAGTCACCTAACCAGCTTTCACACCTAGGATGGGGTTAGAACTTAACCGTCTCCTGGTGATTGGCGCCAAGTCACCCAACCAGCTTTCACACCTTAGGTGGGACTAGAACTCACCGTCTCCTGGTGATTGGCCCAAAGCAACCCAGTCGTCTTTCACATCTAAGGTGGGACTAGAACTCACCGTCTCCTGGTGATTGGCCCAAAGCAACTCAGCTGGCTTTCACATCTAAGGTGGGACTAGAACTCACCGTCTCCTGGTGATTGGCGCCAAGTCACCCAACCAGCTTTCACACCTAGGGTGGGACTAGAACTCACCGTCTCCTGGTGATTGGCGCCAAGTCATCCAACCAGCTTTCACACCTAGGGTGGGACTAGAACTCCCGTCTCCTGGTGATTGGCCCAGAATCACCCCGCTAGCTTCCGTGCCTAAAGGCAGAACTAGAACTCCCAATCTCCTGGTTTTTTTTTTTAGCCTGGTGCCTTCACCACTAAACCAAACTGGCTCTCAAACGGAGATGTCCCTATATCACACTTCCTGGGTGTGTGGGTGTGTGTTTGTGTGTGTGAGGAACGGAGGGAGGGAGGGAGGGGTCAAGCTTTAGGGGGTGTCAGTTGCTGACCTGGCAGTGGGTTTTCTGCAGGAGGAGCAGGCGCAATTCCTCCAAATTCTTATTGATACGATCCCGACGCCGTTTCTCCACCAAGGGTTTCAGCATCTGGGAAGAGAGAGAAAAAATGGAGGGTTGACCCCTGGGTGGGGTGGGTCTCTGCCCATCTGCTTCCTAATGCCCCTTTCCACTGGTTAATTCTAAATCATCATCATCTTTTAACGACCCCATAATCCCCTGCGGGGTGGAGTCTGGGCAACTGAATGGCTCTAGCAGAGTGTTTTTTACTGGCCGGATGCCTTTCCTGTTGTTGATGAGGAGTTTTGTTCGGCAGATATATTCTCATTGTGCCCAGAGAGAGAAATATCTGCCTCTACCTAGGATCGAACTCACAAGCCTCCTGAATGTGAGGCGAGAGCCCCAACTCTGGGCCACCGCACCACTCCAACTGGTTAATTCTAAATGCACCAGAAAATTTAGATTTTTTTGGGAGGCCTGGCGCCTGGATTTAAGCGTTCTGGACCTAAAGAAGGGATGGAAAAACTTGTTTTAATTATTAAAACAAGATTAACTTTTTACTAAAATATTTAATAAATGTTTAGTAAATGTTTAGTAAATATTTAGTAAATATTTAGTATTTTAGTAAATATTTAGTAAATATTTAGTAAATATTTAGTAAAATATTCCAGCTGTGTTTCTCAGTTTCAGCAACTTTGAGACCTGTGGACTTCAACTCCCAGAATTCCTCAGCCAGCTATGGTGGCTGGCTGGGGAATTCTGGGAGTTGAAGTCCACACAAGGAAAACTGCTTGAGATTAAAGTGGTGGGGGAAAAGCACTTTATTCATACAGATTATTTCATTTCATTATTTCATTTCATTTCATTTCATTATTTTTATTTCATTTCATTTCATTTTATTATTTTTATTTCATTTCGTTTTATTATTTTTATTTCATTATTTTATTTTATTTTTATTTCATTTCATTTCATTATTTCATTTCATTCTTTCATTTCATTTTCGTTTCATTTCATTTCATTATTTTTATTTTATTATTTCATTTCATTTCATTATTTTTATTTTATTATTCCATTTCATTTGTAGACCATTTCATCTTATTATTTTATTTTATTATTATTTTCATTTAGTTTGATTTTCTTTTATTCTTTTAATTTCTTTGATGATTCAATTTTTAATATATATATGTGTGTGTGTGTGTGTGTGTACAGTTAATATTTTGGGTTTCTTCCCGTGTAATTGCAAACATATCCTTAAACGAGTAGTAGCGACGTTTCGACGAAATCGCATTCATCATATATATATATATATATATATATATATATACGTACATACATACATACATACATACATACATACATACACACTTATATATATATATATCCCCTACTAACTCGCTCCTGGGTGGGGGTGGGGCGACTCAAGGGGGAGGGGCTTCCAAGGAGATCAAAACACAATATAAAAGAAAGAATTAATAATAATAAAATAACCATCCTCCACCCCCAAATCAGAAAATAACCACAATGGGGGGAAAAAACCCCCACAGACTTTCTTAAACCATCTGCGATCCCAAACTTGAGGATTGGAAGCTAAAATGTTATATTCCCGGAATATATTTTGCAGGAGAGTACAAAGGGATTCTATTCTATTCTATTCTATTCTATTCTATTCTATTCTATTCTATTTCCTTGAAGACGTTTCGCTTCTCATCCAAGAAGCTTCTTCAGTTCTGAGTGGACTTTCTTGGTTTTTCCTTGAAGACGTTTCACTTCTCATCCAAGAAGCTTCTTCAGTTCTGGCTGGACTTTCTTGGTTTTTCCTTGAAGAGGTTTCCCTTCTCATCCAAGAAGCTTCTTCAGTTCTGTCTGGATTTTCTTGGGTTTTCCTTGAAGACGTTTCCCTTCTCATCCAAGAAGCTTCTTCAGTTCTGTCTGAATGATGGGGAATGGGAGGTTCTGTGATTTTTACATTCTACAAAGCGCTCACAACATGCTCTTAAAATCTCTGACGGTTCCATCAGCAAAAATAGATTGGGAATCTAATAGATGGCCTGATCTTGAGACACAGGTTGTTAAGGTGCTTCAGCGTAGTGGATAGGTTGAGATAGTCCACTCTAGATAATGAGGGTTTTTCTAGTTTGAGAAAGGGAAGAGGCAGATTAATCAGTGTTAGGCAGTCCATTATAAAGTCGCTGGAAAGGTCTACAATAAAATCAGCTTTATCGTCAACTATGAGAACATGAAGGGTTTTTAACATGAGATCTACGCCTGAATTTTCATTAAGCTTTCCAATAGTTATAAAGTGAAAATTAAGCTGTCAGTGAGGATAGTGACTATTGTTAAAATTACCACAGGAATATATTTGAGATCTTGATTCTGTCCAGGCAGCAGGCTCCAAAAATCTTGTAATGAATGCAGCACTGCAGGTGTATAACACCTACAATTTGCATATGTGATAACCGAAAAAATGGAAGAATTAGACTGAGCACCTGCTGTTCCTCGCAGCTCCCTTCCCAGAAGAGATTGTCTCAATCATGAATTTCGTGGGTTTGGGTTTTTTTTTTTTTTTGCAAAGTCAAACAAGCCTTTCAGGCTAATTGCGCTTGTCGCTCTTCCTTGAGGAGCAGAGGATTTTGTTGCACTACTAAACGGGGCCAAACCAAGAAGGTGAGTTTTAAATGGCATGCAGGTATGGCATAAAAAAAGAGAGCTGAGAGTCTATTCAGAAGCCACGGGGCAGGTTGAGGCCTTGTTCAGTGATTTTTTATATCTTTCCTTTGCTTGGGTGAAATTTAGTAAAGTGCCTTGTAATGAGAGGAAGCTTCCCATTAATGAATCCAAGTGGAAAAATAATAGCAACAAGATCATCAGCATTAACAGATTAAGAGAGTTGGAAGGGACCTTGTAGGTCATCTAGTCCAACCCCCCATTGCCCAAGCAGGAGACCCTCCACCATTTCTGACAGAGGGCAGTCCAGTCTCTTCTTGAAAGCCTCCAGTGATGAAGCTCCCACAACTTCTGAAGGCAACTTCTATTCCATTGATTGATTGATCTCGCTGTCAGAAAAATTATCCTTATTTCTAGATTGAATCTCTCCTTGGTCAATTTCCATCCATTATTCCTTTGGGTGCTTTGGAAAAGAGCTTGACCTCCTCCTCTCTGTGGCAGCCCCTCAAGTATTGGAAGATGCTCTCCTGTCTCCCCTGGTCCTTCTCTTCCCTAGACTAGCCATGCCCAGTTCCTGCAACCGTTCATCGTATGTTTTAGCCTCCAGTCCCCTCATCATCCTGATTGCTCTTCTCTGCACTCTTTCTAGAGTCTCAACATCATTTTGATAGTGTGGTGACCAAAACTGGATGCCGTACTCTAGGTGTGTTCTTACTAAGGTTTTATAGAGCAGTATTAGGACCTCCCTTGATCTTGATTGCATCCCTCTGTTAATGCAATTTAGGATTGCATTGGCTTTTTTGGCTGCCGCTGCACTCTGCTGGCTTATATTTAGCTGGTTGTCCACTAAGACTCCAAGATCCCTCTCACAGTTCCTGCTATTAAGCCTGGTTTCACCCAGTCTATATGTGTCCTTTTGGTCAGCAGAAGGAGCAAGACTTGTAGAAAACATCTAAATACAAAGACTTGTGCTTATGTGGCATGGACTGTTGACCTTAAGCTGAATATCATCCTCATCCTCATCATTCTAGCCATTGTCTCTCTGCTGTAGGATGAAGGCCTCTTCCACTTGTTTCCAACAAAGATGGTCCTGAACTTTCTTTTGCCAACTGGGCCCACCATACTTGCTGATGTGATTGCTCCATCTTGTTTTCTTAGGCTGAATATGTACACTCTGATGTATGGTAGATGTGGGTTCTATGATGCTTCACTTCTATTTAAAAACCCAAATATTACATGGTGGTTTGTTGGATTGTTGTTGGCTTGTTGTTGGTTTGTTGGTGGTGGAGCCCATTAACCTTGAAGCAGCTCTACAAGGAGGGGCAGAATGATGGCCTCCATGTCTTAGCTGAAGGAGCCGTCAGAGGAAGTGGCTCTAACCACCCCTGATAAACAGATTTTCTCAGTATGAATGAATTCCCAGGATGACCAAGAGAGTTTCAGGGTTAAAGACAAAAGCAATTATATTATTAGAGGAAAAAATTGACTCAATATGGTCCAATTTCTCTTGTGAGAAATTACAAAGGGTGAGTCATGATCAAGCAACAAAGTTCTGGAGGAGAGAATTTTAGAGATAGAAGGTCAGCAAGATATTAGTGTGGCATCGAGGCAAAATAAGCCCTGGAAGCTTTCCCTTTGGTGCCGTGCCAGTTGACGATTGCCAATTCCTAATAAATTATAGACATTGCAGAGAATTTTGCCAAGCTGGATGCATTGTTGGCAAACACTGAAAGATGTTCAACCATGAACACCTACCTCTGCCCTCATGACTTCCCAGCAGAGGAAGATACGTGGCACGGCCCTACGGTTCTCAAGTTTTTATAGGCTCTCTCAGTTGGTATTAATTAGGCCCATTAAATAATTATCAGGTAAAAATAATATTCAGTATATCTGTCTGCTGCTAGCCTAGTCCATAGGGCCCGTGATGCCTGCAGTGCATTTGCCTAGTGTAGAAGCAAATATTATGCGTCACAGTGGTGCTTATTAACAACTTCATTTATTTTTAAAACAGATTGTTTCAGTCGGCCCTTTTAGATCATCTTTTACTGTTGTATTTATGAATTATGAATGCACATCTGTACAATAGTTTGAAGGCTGCGGTAAAGTTGCTTTGACTATGAATAAATCTGAAGCAGAACTGAAGTAGATATAAACATGGCATTCTGAAGGTTGATAGCCCTTTCCTTCCTTTCCTTTCCTTCCTTTCCTTTCCTTTCCTTTCCTTTCCCTCTTCCTCCTTTCCTTTCCTTTCCTTTCCTTTCCTTTCCTTCCCTTCCCTTCCCTTCCCTTCCCCTTCCCTTCCCTTCCCTTCCCCTTCCCTTCTTCATCTATTTACTTCCTTTCCTTTCCTTCCTATTAACTTCCTTTCCTTTCCTTATTTCTTTTCTTCTTTCCTTTTTCCTTTTATTCCCTTTCCTTTCCCCCTTCTTTTTTTTCTTTTTCTTTTATCCCTTCCCTTCCCCTTCCTCCTCCCTTCCCTTTCCTCCTTCTTTTATCCTTTTCCTTTCCTTTCCTTTCCTTTTCCTTTCCTTTCTTCCTTTCCTTTCCTTTCCTTCCTTTCCTTTCCCTCTTCCTCCTTCCCTTCCCTTCCCCTCCCTTCCCTTCCCTTCCCTTCCCTTTCCCTTCCCTTCTTCATCTATTTACTTCCTTTCCTTTCCTTCCCTTCCTATTAACTTCCTTTCCTTTCCTTATTTCTTTTTCTTCTTTCCTTTTCCCTTCCCTTCCCCTTCCCCCTCCCTTCTCTTTCTCCTTCTTTTATCTTCTTTTCCTTTCCTTTCCTTTCCTTTCCTTTCCTTTCCTTTCCTTTCCTTTCCCTCTTCCTCCTTTCCTTTCCTTTCCTTTCCTTTCCTTTCCTTCCCCTCATCCCTCTCCCCTTCTTTTTCTCCTTCCCGTCTTCCTCCCATCTGTCTTCCTTTCCTTCTTCTTTCCTTCTTTCCCTCTCTCTCATCCCTCTCACCTTCTTTTTTTCCTTCCCGTCTTCCTTCCCTCTCCCTCATCCCTCTCCCCTTTTTTCTCCTTCCCGTCTTCCTCCCATCTATCTTCTTCCTTCTTCTTTCCTTCTTTCCCTCCCTCTCATCCCTCTCCCCTTCTTTTTCTCCTTCCCATCTTCCTTCTCTCTCTCCCATCTCTCTTCCTTCCATTCTTTCCTTCTTTCCCTCCCTCTCATCCCTCTCACCTTCTTTTTCTCCTTCCTGTCTTCCTTTTTCTCCCTCTCATCCCCTCTCCCTTCTTCTTCCCTTCTTTCTTCTCTCCCTCTCATCCCTCTTACCTTTACTTTCTTCTTCCCTTTTTCCTTCTCCCTCCTATCTTTCTTTCTCCCTTCTTCCCTCCCTCCTTCCCTCTCTCTCGTCCCTCACCCTCTTTTTCTTCTTTCCTTCTTCCTTCCTTCCTTCTCTCCCTCCCTTTCCTTCCTCCCTTTCCTTTCCTCTCATCTTTCTTACCTTCTTTTTCTCCTTCCATTCTTACTGCACTCCCTCCCGTCTTTCGTTCTTTCTCTCTCGCGCCTTTCCTTTCTTCTTTCTCCTTCCTTCTCTTACCCTCCCTTCTTCTCTCCCTCTCCCTTCTTCTCTCCCTCTCATCTTTCCTGCGTTCCTTCTTTCTCTCCCTCCGTCCTCCCCTTCTTTGTCTCTCCTCCCTCTCTACCATCTTCCTTCCTTTCCTTCTTTCTCTTCCTCTCTCCTTCCTTCCCTTCCTCTCTTCTTTCCCCCTCCCTTTCTACTTCCCTTCTTTTTCTCTCTCTTCCTTCCTTCTTCCTTCCTTCCTTAAATTACCACCCATCTTTCTCTCTCCCTCTTTCTTCCTTTCTTCCTCTCCTTCTTCTCTCCCTCTCATCTTTCCTGCTTTCCTGCTTTCTCTCCCCCCTTCCTTTCATCCCTCTTCCTTTCCCTCTTCCTTTCCTTCTTTCTTTCCTCAAATGAAAGAACCGTGCAAAAACTGTCCAGCTCTTTGGGGGGGGAATCCCTTGCAGGGGGTTTCAACCCCCCAAATCTTTTCCCAGCTGGTTATTCCTGGGGTGGGGGGGCACCCCCAAACTGTTCCTTGTCAGCGTTATTGATGTGGCCGTGCAGAGTTGCTTTATTGTGAGATGGGGTAGCGGGATAAATTTGATGACTGTATCATGCGATGGATAAATGTCCAGAAAAAGGTTGATTTTCCCTTCCGTGAACTAAAAATTTGGCCAAAAAAAAAAAGGGGGGGGGGCACACAAAGCAAAAGTTTTTCCCCAGCTGGAAAATGAATAAAATCGGACCTTTTCAACTCTGCAATTCATAGCTTTTGCCCTCAGGTTTTTAAACCAGGGAGAATGGTAACTTTAAGATGGGTGGACTTCAACTCCCAGAATCCCCTACCTCACCCAGCCAGCGTTGAATTCTGGGAGTTGAAGTCCACCCATCTTAAAAGTGGCCACAGTTGAAAGAAACACACAGAGAGAGTGGGAGGGAGAGACAGAGAGAGACAGACAGAGGGAGAGGGAGAGAGAGGGAGAGAGAGAAAGACAGAAGGAGAGGGAGAGAGAGAGAGGGAGAGACAGAGGGAGAGGGAGAGGGAGACAGAGACAGAGAGAGTGAGAGAGAGAGACAGAGGGAGAAGGAGAGAGAGAGAGAAGGAGAGGGAGAGCGGGAGAGAGAGAGGGAGAGAGACAGAGAGACAGAGGGAGAGGGAGAGAGAGAGAGAGGGAGAGAGAGAGAGAAGGAGAGGGGGAGAGGGAGAGAGAGAGGGAGAGGAGAGACAGAGAGAGAGACAGAGGGAGAGGGAGAGAGAGAGAGAAGGAGAGGGAGAAGGGAGAGACAGAGGGAGAAGGAGCGAGAACAGAGACAGAGAGACAGGGAGAGAGAGACAGAGGGAGAGAGAGGGGAGAGAGAGGAAGAGAGACAGAGGGAGAGAGAGGGGGAGAGAGAGAGAGAGGAGAGGGGGAGAGGGAGAGAGAGAGGGAGAGAGACAGAGAGAGAGAGACAGAGGGAGAGGGAGAGAGAGAAAGATAGAGAGAGGGAGACAGAGAGAGAGAGAGAGAGAGAGACAGAGAGGGAGAGAGGGAGGGAGAGAGACAGAGAGAGAGACAGAGAGAGAGACAGAGGGAGAGGGAGACAGAGAGAGAGGGAGAGAGAGAGAGAGAAGGAGAGGGAGAGAGGGAGAGAGACAGAGGGAGAGGGAGAGAGAGAGAGAGGGAGAGAGAGAGAGAAGGAGAGAGACAGAGAAAGAGGGAGAGAGAGAGACAGAGAGAGAAGGAGAGGGAGAGAGGGAGAGAGACAGAGAGAGAGGGAGAGAGAGACAGAGGGAGAGAGAGAGAGAGAGAGAAAGAAAGACAGAGGGAGAGGGAGAGAGAGTAGTGGCCAAAATTGTGGAAACCCTTTTGGGAAAAGTGTATTTTTGAGGTTTGATGGCTAATAACACCACTTTTTTTGTGTTTTGGAGTTTCAAGATAATCAGATTCCGCTGCTGGAACGACCTGGGAATAGATTAAATTATCTTTCCATTGATATATAATTTTATGGCACTACAAAAAAAACCAAAAAGTGGTGTTATGAGCTGGTTTTAGAAAATACAACTTTCCCCAAAATGTTGAGGCCTTCGAACCCAGCACTCTTGGAGGGCGTCCCGTCGGGGGGGGGAGGCAGCCCCCCCTCTATTGTTCTCTTTCCCTCTGCCGTCCATTTCCTTTCTTCCCTTCTTCCTCTTTTGTTCTCCCCTCCCTCAAATGCCACCTCCATTCTTTGACCGCATGGGGTAAGTGCAATTAGATATGTGGGGGGGGGGAGGAGAGGGGGGGGGGGGTCCTGCTTTTTGGGGGGGGAATCGTCCCTGGTGACTTGGGTCTCTGAGAGTGACTAGGTGGCTCAGTGGCTAAGACACCGAGCTTGTCGATCAGCAAGGTCGGCGGTTCACCGGTTCGAATCCCTAGTACAGGGAGCAGGGGGTTGGACTGGATGACCTCGAAGGTCCCTTCCAACTCGGTTACTGTTACTGATTGCTGATTAGAAATCAATTAGAAATTGCCAATGTGATTCTTAAATTGATCTCTCTCTCCTCTCTCTCTTTCTTTTTTCTTTCTTTCTTTTTTGCCATATTTCCTCCTTCGTTTTTTTCCCTTCTACTTCCTTTCTTTCCTTCTCTGCTCCCTTCCTTCTCGTTCCCATTTCCTTCCTTCCTATTTCTTCTATTTCTCTTCCTTCTTTTCTTTTACTTCTTTCTTTCCTCCGTCCCTCCGTCCCTTTCTTTCTATCTCTCTTCCTTCTTTCCTTTTACTTCCTTCCTTTCTTCTCATTCTCTTCCTTTCTTCCTTTTCTTCTCTCTTCCTTCTTTCCTTTTACTTCCTTTCCTTCCTTCTTTCCTCCCGTCTTCTCATTCCCATCTCCTTCCTTCTCTCCTTCCTTCCTTCTCATTTTCTTCCATCCTTCCTTTCCTTCTCTCTTTCCTTCCTTCTTTCCTTCTACTTCCTTTCCTTCCTTCTTTTCTCCCGTCCTTCTCATTCCCATCTCCTTCCTTCCTTCCTTTCGTTCTCATTCTCTTCTTTCTTCCTTTCTTCTATCTCTCTTCCTTTTTTCCTTTGCTTCCTTTCCTTCCTTCTCTCCTCCCATCCTTTCTCATTCCCATCTCCCTCCTTCCTTCCTTCCTTCGTCTCATTCTCTTCCTTTCTTCCTTTTCTTCCTCTCTTCCTTCCTTCCTTTTGCTTCCTTTCCTTCCTTCTTTCCTCCTTTCCTTCTCATTCCCATCTCCTTTCTTCCTTCCTTCCTTCTCATTTTCTTCCTTCCTTCCTTTCCTTCCTTCTTTCATTCTACTTCCTTTCCTTCCTTCTTTCCTCCCATCTTTCTCATTCCCATCTCCTTCCTTCCTTCCTTCTCTTGTCTCTCCCTTCTTTCGTTCTACTTCCTTTTCTTCCTTCTTTCCTTCCTTCCTTCTCATTCCCATCTCCTTCGCTCCTTCCTTCCTTCCTCCTTCTCATTTTCTTCCTTCCTTCCTTTCCTTCTCTCTTCCTTCTTTCATTCTACTTCCTTTCCTTTCTTTCCTCCCATCTTCCTCATTCCCATCTCCTTCCTTCCTTCCTTTCTTCCTTCTCATTCTCTTCCTTCCTTTTCTTCTATCTCTCTTCCTTCTTTCATTCTACTTCCTTTCCTCCCTTCCTTCTCATTCCCATCTCCTTCCTTCCCTTCTATCCCTCTTCCTTCTTGCGTTCTCCTTCCTTTCCTTCCTTCTTTCCTTCCTTCTCCTCCTTTCCTCCCCACCCAATGCAGAAGGGGTCACCAAGGAAGAAAATCTCCTGAAAAGCTACCGCGGCGGCCACCACCAGTGCCTCGCCCAAGCCACCCACTTCCTCCGAGCCAGCCCCGACCTCCGTCCTGCCCAGAAAGCCTTTTGCGTGGACCGCATCGGTCACTGCATGGAGCAACTCGCCCCCAGGTCCCAGCCGGAGCTCCCCTGCGGCCCCCTGGCGCCCTCCAACCCCAGATACGACTCTCAGCCATGCTACAGCCCCAGCGTCTTCGGTGGGTGCAGCCCGCCTCCGGCTGGACCGGCGTACATCTGGGCCTCAAAGCCAACCCCCAGCCCCTCCGGCTCTGGACTGCAGGCCTGCCAGCCCAGCCTGGCCCCACCGACGGGGGGCTGCAGCAGAGCCCCCCAGAGCAGACTCTCGGAGAGATGGGGGCCCACCGGACTGAGAGTGTGGAGACCCTGGCCTTAAATCCGCGACCCACATCTTCTGCAAATACTCTTCGGCGGGTATCTCAGGAGCTTTGATGCTGCCAAAGACTCAAGATTCCTCTCTTGTGTTGTGTTGTGTGTTTGCGTGCGAGTTTGTGTGTGTGAGAGAGTTGTGTTTATTTTGGGGGTGTTTTTTATTTGTTTGGGGGTCTTTTCCTGCATCTCTTGGCACAAAGACTATTTTGAAAATCGTCTCCCTTTTGGGCATCTTCTGCTTGGCCTCACCGGCTTCAACCAAGACCCGTTGCGTGGCACCCTGAAAAATGTCTTATGATGCGGGGAGAGAAAAAAAAAATTCATATTTTTGCCTCTTGCAGTTCTGCCTTTTACCAGGCACGTCTGAATCGTTCTTGGGTTTCAAATAAATCAGATGAAAACAAACTGGTGCAGGAAAGTGTTCTCATTGGGGTGTGTCTTTCCGTCACAGTGAGTCTCACACACAAAGCCAGCTGCAAAAAAAAATAAGCCGCAATCACTTTCCAGACATCACACAGCAGTCCAACTCCTTCCCTCCAGATGTGATTATTAAGGGAGTGGGTGCCATATGGCGAGGGGTGTACGGAGCAGTGGTTATAAATGGGGGGGGTGAGTAGGGGGGGGGAAGTTAGGGGGTTGATGCTAGTGAACTCATCCGAGTAGCAGAGTTGAGCACCTCTCAGGGAAGCTCGGTCTGTCTTGCTAAGACGAGCAGTTTCGGAAGAGAAAAGCGATTTGTCGGGATAAAAATCCAAGCGATTTGTTGGGAATTCTGGGAGAAGGCGGGAGGGGAGAAAAAAAAAGAATTGAATTGAATTGAATGCTTGATTTGGCCAAGCGCGATTTAGACACGCGAGGAATTTGTCTCGGGCGCAGAAGCTCTCCACGTCCATGCAACACAACAGAGTCATGACCGTCATCGTAATCCTAATATCGGTAAGAGTGTTATTAATAATTTATTTATTTATTTATTTGATCGTATTTGTATACCGCCCTACTCCCGGAGGACTCAGGGCGGTGAACAGCCAAGATAAAAATACAAAGAACATACAAAAAGTTAAAAAAACTATTAAAAACAGATTCAATAATTTGGGCTCAAAAAAAATTTAAGACGTCCAATTTATCTAAAAACATTTAAAACCCAATTTAAAAGGGGTTTTACAAGTGAAGGCGTTAGGCGTAGAACAACTGGTAATGTACCGTAGTAAGTAGAAAAATATATTAGATAAAAATTAGATTAAAAAAATAATATATATCATACAGGAGTCAGCAACCGGAAGCTCTGGAGCCGCTTGTGACTCTGGAGCCGCATGTGGCTCCAGAGCCTCATGTGGCTCTTTTACTCCTCTGCTGCGGCTCCCTGTGGCTCAAAATATGCATCACAACCGCCAATGTGCGACACCGGCCAGCACGTGATTTATTGAGCTTTTCAACCTCTGGTAGGCCAACCATGGATAAATCCCAGAAAAGAAAAATTTCAGAAGAAAACAGAAGGTTTAATTCAACTACGTATGTTATTTTATTTTATTTATTTATTTATCAAATTTCTATACCGCCCTACTCCCGGAGGACTCAGGGCGGTGAACAGCCAAGATAAAATACAGATCATACAAACATTAAAAGTCCATTAAAATTATTAAATCTTTTGGCCGAAAACAACAAATGTTAGTTTTGTGGCCGCAACAAGAAATAGAACGGGAAAGGTTTTGTGGCTCCCGGTGTTTTCTTTTGTTTGGGAAACGGGTCCAAATGGCTCTTTTGAGTGTTTTAAGGTTGCAGACTCCTGGTATTGGTCGTCCTCGACTTACAACAGTTCATTTAGTGACCGACGTTACAACGGCACTGAAACACGTGACCTTTTTTTTTTTCGCGACCGTCGTTCACACTTAACGACCGTCGCACATTTTCCTCCCTGGTCACGCTGATCACAATTAAAACGCTTGGCAACCGACTCCTATTTATGATGGTCTGACAGTGTCCCCTTTTGCCACCTTTTGTGACCAGCAAAGTCGCAAGGAGCGGGAAACCCGATTCATTTAAAGACCATGTCACTAATTTTACACCCGCTGTATTTTCCGTAACAACAGAAAGGTCGTAAAACGGAGCCCGACTCACTGAATTTTGTTTAGCGATAGAAATGTGGGACGCAATTGTGTCATAAATTGAGGACTTACCTGTGGAATACTAGATGGCATTTTTCTGTATTGAATGGAGTTTATACACTAATAAAAATCAAGGAGCTCAAGAACGCATTGGTGGTTCAGTGGTAGAATTCTCGCCTGCCACGCGGGAGGCCCGGGTTCGATTCCCGGCCAATGCAACTTACTTTTTCTTTCTTTCTTTTTTTTTTTAAATTTATTTAATTTTTCCTATCCAGCAGATCCACAATTGCAGAACATTTTCTCCACCTAACTTCTTTGCAAAGCTAGGTTCCCACGTGTCAATTTCCCACGTTAGCAGTTCCATTCTTGCCTTGCATCCCTGTTTTTTTTTTCTTTTTTCCTTTTTTCTTTTTTTTTTTGCACAAAAAAAAAGTTTTGAGATGGGGGGCACGTGAGAAAAAAAAAAAACCCTGGGGAAGTGAAGCTTTGCAAAATTTGCAAAAGAGCAACCAAAGAGTAACTTGCAATCAATGCAATCAATGCAAAATGCAAAAAAATATGCATTTTTTTAGGAAAAAAACGCCATCGCAGCTCTTTGCATCCGTGGGCACTTTACAGAGGTGAAGGAGAAACGGGAGAGGGAATTTAGGGAAGGAGGGGAAAAAAAAAGAAAAGTAAAGAAAAACAAGGCACCGCTGGGATTCGAACCCAGGATCTCCTGTTTACTAGACAGGCGCTTTAACCAACTAAGCCACGGCGCCACTTGGCCAACATTTCCCTTTTTCCTAATCTCAGTATGTAAAGGTCGAAATAAGCATAATCTTAATTTTTTTAATTTTTTTTTTAATAAAAAAATTGCACAATTGCACAATTGCAGCAGCAATTGTGCAAAATAAAAGAGAAAAAAAAAGAAATCACCCACTAAAGATTAAAAAAAAAATAAAATATAAAATAAAAGGGCGCTTTCCGCCCTTTGCACATGCTCGCCCAACTTTTGCTCCCGGCCCGTGTGCAAAAAGTATTCTGTGCATGCTCAGGAACTCTTCCTTTCCTTTTTGCAAGGATTCCATGCAATGCTAAAGCCATCAATAGCATAGCAAGCGAACGGGAGGCCAGGCAAGGGGATGTAGCTCAGTGGTAGAGCGCATGCTTCGCATGTATGAGGCCCCGGGTTCAATCCCCGGCATCTCCACAATTTTATTTTTATTTGGGGGGAAAAATTTTTTTTTAAAAAAAAATATTTTAAAAAATAATTGGAAGAAAAAAAATTTTTTTCCCCCCCTTCTTCTGAATCTGACATTTTTTTGGGAGGGGGAAAAAAAAAATCTCGTTTTTTTCCCTGCCTTTCTTCCAAGCAGAAAGGTTGGAAAGATGGAGAGGAGGACAGCGGCCCCTCCTGGCGGCGGAGGGGAAATGCAGGCTTGCCATGAAATTTCTGCCTTTTTAAAAAATATATATATATATTTCCCAAAATGTGTCATTCAAAAATATTGCATTTTCACAATCGAGATATTGGGGCTGCGACCCCCTCCCTCTGCTATCTTTCTGCCCCAGGTTTTTTTCTTTTTACCCATTGGGAAGCCCCCCCCCCAAGAATGAAATATTTTGGGAAATATTATTTTTTTAAAAAAGGATATTAATATTTCCTTAAAGGAGAAATGGAGAAACATGGTTTTTTTTAAAGAGGCAGGAAGCAGCCCCCCAAATCTTTCTCAATAGTCCACAGCAGATTATTTAAGGAGATAAAGAGCTTATTTGAAAGAGGAAGCCAACTATCTAGATGGCTCTATCCATAAGCAAAGCAAAATACTGCAGGCAGAAATCGACTCGAGACCGGATATTTCCCAACTGCTTTGCAGCAAAGTTTGACAGCTAACAAAAAGCAGAGGGATAGGATTAGAAGCAGCTCCTCACCCAAGATCCAAGGGCTTATTGAAAGAGGAAGCCAACTGTGTAGATGGCTCTATCCATAAGCAAAGCAAAATACTGCCAACAGAAGCCCATTCAAGACGAGGATCTTTCAAAACTCCTTGCAGGAAAACATGGCAAGCTAAGGGTAGGATTAGAAGAAAATCAGACCCTCACCTCCAAGACAAGACAGGACAAAAGCCACATTCACCACAAGAGGAATTGCCCGGCCGACACACAAAAGCCCATATTGCACCAATCCCAAACTTCTTCAAAGTTACAGAAAGTGTAAAAGATCCATTCACTCAAATCTCGCTCATCTTCTTTTAACGACCACATAATCCCTTGCCGGGGTGGAGTCTGGGCAACTGAATGGAGTTAGCAGAGTTGCCGGATGCCTTCCCTGTCGCCAGTGCGGAGTTTTGTTCAACCGATATAGTCTCGTCTTCTGTTTTGAATCCTTTTTTTATATATATATTTGGCAGCATTGAACTTTTGCAAAAGTTGGTTCCAACTCTTGCAATTTTTATTATTATTATTATTTTTGCAATGCATTTTGCAAAATTCTTTTGCAAAGACTCTTTAATAAAAATTATTTTAAAATTATTTTGGAGGGGGGGTTCCCTTCTGTTTATATATCTTTTTCTTTTTCTTTCTTTCTTTTTTTTTTTGGAAGCTTTTAAGAGGGGTAAACTTCGACTCCCCAAATGCTCTTTGCTGTCAGAGGAATTCTGAAAGTTGCATTAATTTCCAACCCTCCAAAGTTTCCAGGCTTCCCCCCCAAAATTGGGAAATTATATTCAGCATCAAAGCACTGAAAAAGGGAAAGGTGGATTTTCCCCCCCAGTCCTTGTTGAAACGTCGGTCGTAAGACAAAGGCAAGCGTGCAAAAGGGAACGCGCTGTGAGCAGGATTCGAACCTGCGCGGGGAGCCCCCATTGGATTTCAAGTCCAACGCCTTAACCACTCGGCCATCACAGCTCACTCTGGACGCTTTTTTGACGCCTTTCCCGAAATGGATCCTCTGTGATCGGATACTAAATAAATGCTTTTTTTATTAAATAGCCAGGTGTTTCTTTCTTGGATTCCCCTGGGGAATTCTCTCTCTCTCTCTTCTTTTCTTTCTCTATCACTTTCTCTCTTTCCCCCTCTCTCTTTTTTTCCCTTTCTTTTTCTTTCTCTGTTTCATTTCTTTCTCTTTCCCTCTCTTTCTTTCTTTTTCTCATTCTCTGTTTCTTTCGCTTACTTTTTCTTTCTCTATTTTCTCTATTTTCTTTCTTTTTCTTTCTTTCTTTCTCTATCACTTTCTTTCTCACTCTCTTGCTTTTTCTTTCCCTTTCTCTATTTTCTTTCTCTTTCTTTCTTCCTTTATCACTTTCTATCTCACTCTCTTTCCCTTTCTTGTTCCTTCCCTTTTCCTTTCTCTATTTTCTTTCTTTCTCTTCCTTCCTTCCTCTTTCACTTTTTCCTTCTCTCTCTCTTCCTTCCTCTCTCTCCCTTCCTTTCTGTCTTTCTTTTTCCTCCTCACTTTCTTTCTCCCTTCCTTTCTCTTTTTTCTTTCCCTCTCGTTCTTACTTTTCTTTCTTTCTCTCCTTCTCTTCCTTTCTTTCTCTATTCCTTTCTTTTGCTTTCCCCTTCTCTCTTTCTCTTTTCTCTCATTTTGTCCTCCCTTTTCTTTCTCACTTTCTCTATCGCTTTCTTTCTCTCTTTCTCCCTCTTTCTCCCTTTCTTTTTTCTTTCTCTATTTTCTTTTGTAAGGTCCACTTTCTTTCTCTTCCTTCCTTTCTCTATCACTTCCTTTCTCTCTTTCTCCCTCCTTTTCCCTTTCTTTTCCTTTCTCTTTTCTTTCTCTTCCTCCTTTTCTCTATCTCTATGTGCTTTTAATAGGCTGTACACCACCCTGAGTCCTTCGGGAGAAGGGCGGTATAGAAATAAAATTATTCTTATTCTTATTCTTATCGCTTACTTTCTCTTTCTCCCTCTTTTTTCCCTTCTCTATTTTCTTTCTTTCTCTTCCTTCCTTTCTCTATCGCTTTCTTTCTTTCTCCCTTTCTTTTTCTTTCTCTATTGCTTTTGCTTTTTCCTTCTCTCCCTTCCTTTCTTCCTGTCTTTCTTTTTCCTCCCCACTTTCTTTCCCGCTCTTTCTTTCTCCCTTTCTTTCTCTATTCTTTCTTTCTCTTTCCCGCTCGTTCTTTCTCTTTTCTTTCTTTCTCTCTTGCTCTTTCTTTCCCTTTTTCTTTCTCTGTTTTCTTTCTTTCTCTTCCTTCTATTGCTTTCTTTCGCTTTCCCCTTCTGTCTCTTTTTTCTCTCGTTTTATCCGCCTCTTTCTTTCTCACTTTCTCTATTACTTTCTTTCTCTTTCTCGCTCCTTTTTCCTTTTCTTTTTCCTTTCTCTATTTTCTTTCTTTCTCTTCCTTCCTTTCTCTGTCGCTTTCTTTCTCTTTCTCTCTTTTTTCCCTTTTCTTCTTTCTCTATTTTCTTTCTTTCTCTTCCTTCCTTTCTATCGCTTTCTTTTTCTTTCGCCCTCTTTTCTCCCTTTTTTTTCTTTCTCTATTTTCTTTCTTTCACTTCTTTCTTTTCTATTGCTTTCTTTCTTTCTCCCTCTTTTCTGTTTCTTTTTTCTCTTTTTTCTTTCTTTCTCTCTTCCTTCCTTCCTTTCTCTTTCTTTCTTTCTCTTTGACTTTCCACTTCTTTCTTTTGTTTCTTTTTCCCTTTTCCCTTCTTTCTCTCTCTCTCTTTCTCCCTCTTTCTTTTTTCTTTCTTTCTTTTTCTTTCTTTCTTTCTCCTTCCTTCCTCCCTCTCTCTCTCCCCCTCCTCAGTTAGCCCTAGTAGGTTTCATAAGATTCCCACTTTTTTGTGTGTGTTTGCATATAAGAGGATTTTTGCTTTCAGGAATCCTGGTTCAAAAGATAGAGAAGGAATCCCAGGGTTTGTGCAGCAAAACTTTTATTGCCGCTCAGAGCCTCCCATCCTTTCTTCCGTTGGACGGACATTTATTCTCTTCCACTAAGTATCTATTTAAATATCTGTTTAAAAATATCTCAGCAGCCTCCTCCAGGAGATGGGCAATTTGCCCGTAGTTAAGATGGCGGCCGGAGAGAGATAGAAGAAGGCGGCCTTCAAAGTCTCGCGAGACTGAGCGAAGCCCGTTCCCCGCCGGAGAGGCAAAAGCGAGGCTGGGCCTAGGCGGTTGCCAGGGCAACGGTGCGGCCTAGCAACCAGACCCGCAGCCTGAGACATCGAGGGAGTTCGCTTGATCTGCGGGCGGGAAAGGGGTATGCTGTAACGGGGAGGGGCGGGGTGTCGTTAGTAGGGCAAGAGAGCATTTGGGGGCGGCGGGAAGCAAAAAGCCAAATCTGTGGTAAAAATGTGGCTGCGTTCACACGATACGCGGGGGGGGGGTGGGGCTTCGGGGGGGGGGGGGTCACGTGTTCAGGGAGCTCGGCCGGATTGGTTGATTTGAGCCCTCCCCTTCTCCCCCCCCGCGCGCAAACCCCTTAAACGGGTTAACCCGTGTTAAGAGACACGTGTGAACGCAGCCCCCTGCTGCAAAAAAACAACTGGAGGGACGTGGGGAGTGAAAACTGGCACGAATGGGCTCCTCTTCCAGGGACTTTGGAGGGGTTTGGATGCTCTCGGGAGACCCCATGCTTTCAGCCCCCTCTTTTTTCCTCCCCATCTCTCCCATCCCGTGACAACAACCCTGCGAGGTAGGCTGGCCCAAAGTTGCCCCGTTGGATTCCATAGATGAGGATGCTTTTTGACTTTGCAAAGGATGTGTTTATTTGCAATATTATTATTATTATTATTATTATTATTATTATTATTATTATTATTATTATTATTATTATTATAATATTACTACTACTACTATTACTATTGTTACTATTGTTATCATTATTAATATTAATATCATTACTAACTTGATAATAATAGTATTATTACTAATAATAGTTATAGTAAATAATTATTATTATTACTATTATTATTACTATTGTTATTGTTATCATCATTAACATTAATATTACTAACTTGATAATAATAGTATTACTAATAATAGTATTACTGTTATTATTACTGTTGTTATTACTATTACTATTATTGTTGTTATTGTTGTTGCTATTATTATTATTATTATTATTAAAAATATTAATTTTCCATTGATTTTCTCGTTTAGGAAGACGACCCTTAAAAGCGGCCCTGGATCTGTGAAAGGGGGAAATCGGCAGCTGGATTTTTGCACCCCCAAAGACGGGGATCCTGAGTGCGCCCTGATAAAAGAACCAGATTTGAAGACTCCGTTGCACGTCTGGGGATCGGTGCACACAAAGTAAGTTACAAGGTGGAGAAAGCAGATCATGATACAGGTATTCCTTGACTTACAACTGCAGCGGAGCTCCGAATTTCACCTTGCTAAGCGAGGCAGTTGTTAAGTGAGTTTTGCCCCGTTTTACGACCTGTCTCGCCACGGGGGGGGGGGCGGTTAAGCGATCGCATGCCGTTGTTAATGACTAACATGGTTGTTCGGTGAATGTTGTCATAAAAAAAGGCAATCGCACAACCTCGGGATGCTACAACCGTCATAAATATGAAGCAGGTGGCCAAGTGTCTGAATTTTGATCAAGGGACCAGGGTGGTGTGGTGTGCGGCAACGGTCGTAAGTGTGAAAAACAGCCATAAGTCAAGTTTTTTTCAGTGCCGTTGGAACGTCCAACGGTCGCTAAGCAAATGTTGTAAGTCAAGGACTACCTGAATACACGTTGGTACGACCACCTCGCCTCAATTTGATAAGAGGATCGTTTGTGGAATGTCCGTCCCAAAGGTGCTTTTTTTCCAAGAGGCGAATGGCCTTTTCTGGTTTTCCTTTTGAAGACGTTTCACTCCTCATCCAAGAAGCTTCTTCAGTTCTTCAGAGCAAAGGGGAGCAGTTCTTCAGAACTGGAAGAAGCTTCTTGGATGAGAAGCGAAACGTCTTCAAACGAAAGCCTCTGAAGGCAGGACAAGAAGCAACGGATGGAAACTCATCAAGGAGAGAAGCAATGTAGAATTAAGGACAAATTTCTTTTTTTATATATATATATTTTATTTATTTCTTTACAACAAATATTTATTCACACACAGATCACGACGGGAGCTTTACACAGTATATTAACTTCAGTCAAGATATACAAATAAAAAATAAAATCTACACTAACCTTATCCTTTTTTAAATTCTATTATTCAACCAGATATACCATTGGTCCCAACATTGAAAATATACGGAATCCTTTTGATCTCTCAGAGTTTTTGTTAACCTGTCAGCTTCCGCATATTCGATAATTTTTCCCCAAATCAAATCTTCAGCCGGTAGGTCTTTCCCCTTCCAATGTTGAACAAAACATATCCTTGCTGCGGTTGTGATATATGTAATCGGACACCATATATTCGTGCCTATCTTATCTGGCCTAATATTTAATAGATAATATTCTGGTTTCAATTGTAATTTATATCCCGTGATTTCTAATATCCACCTCTGTATGAATCTCCAAAATTCGATTACCTTAGGGCAGGTCCACCATACGTGATAGTAAGTACCTATCTCCCCACACTTCCAGCAGTTTGGGGAGACAAATTAAGGACAAATTTCTTGATAGTGGGAACAATTAATCAGTGGAATCGCCTGCCTCCAGAAGTTGTGGTTGCAACAACCTTGGAGGTTTTTAACAAGAAATTGGATGACATTTGTCTGAAATGGTATAGGGTTCTCCGGCTTGATCGAGGCTGGACTAGAAGATCTCTGAAGTCCCTTCCACTCTTGTTATTCTGCATTCTGGGTATAGATGTTTCTCCTTGGGCTGTGAGGATTCTTTTGGTCTTTCGCAGGAAGGGAGAAGAATGCCATTGGTCAGCGGGCTGGTTCCCTCTCGATTTCTGGTCCTAACGGCTCATCTGGTCATTGTCATCACCATCTTCTGGTCCAGGGTGAGAGTCTCCTTCCTAGCTTCAATTCCTGGTCCCTCGGACCTCTTCCAAATATCCCCTTCCCTCTCGGTCTCCTTTTGCTTTTAGGATGTGTCCTCGAAAAAGGAGCCCAGAGATATTTTCTTTAGTAGTCTTTGAGGAATGCAATGGGACAGCTCACCCCGGCCAACACGCCACTGGACAATTTTAACAATTCTATGTCATTATATAAAAGAAATTTAAAAAATATTGTCATTTTTGCCATTTGCATTTCATTCGGTTCCTCCTTTTGCATCCTTTTTTAAAATGAGTCTGTTTCTACCATTTCTTTGATATTAGTGCAACTCTTGTCCAGCAGTGAGTTGGTCCGTGGCGAGTTGGCCACGGCGAATGGTCATCTAAAGTACCGTAATAAATGTGGGATAAAAATCGCATAGAGATAGAAATGGATGGATGGATGGATGGATAGGGATGGATGGATAGATAGGGATGGATGGATGGATAGGGATGGATGGATAGATGGATGTAGATGATAGAAATGATAGATAAAAGATGACTAGGGGATGGATGGATAGGGATGGATGGATGGATAGATAGGGATGGATGGATAGATGGATGTAGATGATAGAAATGATAGATAAAAGATGAATAGGGGATGGATAGATAGGGATAATGGATGGATGGATAGATAGGGATGGATGGATGGATGGATGACTAGATGTAGATGGTAGAAATGATAGATGAAAGATACATAGGGGATGGATGGATGGATAGATAGGGATGGATGGATGGATGGATGGATAAATGGATGTAGATGATAGAAATGATAGATGAAAGATACATAGGTGGGAGACAGATGATAGCTAGAGATAGATAGATAGATAGATAGATTAGATAGATAGATAGATAGATAGATAGATAGATAGATAGATAGATAGATATTGATAAATGATAGATGGATATAGATAGAAATGATGAAAGATACATAGGGAGATAGATGATAGATATGGATCGATATATATATATATATATATATATATATATATATATATATATGATAAATGGATATATATATATATAAATGATAAATGGATATATATATAGATAAATGATAGAAATGAAAGATGAAAGATACATAGGAGGGAGATAGAAGATAGATAGATTAGATAAATAGATATGATAGATGGAGATAAATGATAGATGAAAGATATATATGTGATAGCCAGGATAAACAGACCAACAGACAGCTAGATAGAGAGAATGAGAGACAGATATAGAGATGATGAAATGATAGATGCATAGATAGATTGAGAGATGGGTGGATCGATTTTTACATTGACAAGAGCTTCTCTGTAGCCCTTCAGCTCACCTTGGATGCTTTCAGAATCCCCTGCCCTTTCCGTCCCCCCCCCCCTTCCTGGCAATCCTGCTGGGTTCATTGGAAAAGAACAAGGGGTATCCCCTCCGTCCGTCCATCCATCCATCAATCCTGCCTCTCTCTCCCTACACCAAACCTCTGCAACTCTGAAAACAAGGGAGAGGCCAAGCTTTGCTGCCTTACTGCTCCAAAACATGACCGGAAGAGCCTAGCACCCCTAGCCAGCTATTCCTGCAGGCTGCCCCCCCTCCCCTCTTTTATTCCGTTTTTATTTTTTTTTCCCTCCAGGAAAACAATGTCCGTGCTTCCCTCCCTCTTCAGTGTACGCCGGAAGAATATAACCGCCGAGACACCGAGTGAGTCATTATACCGCCGCTGCTAAAATCCACCTTTGCTGCCACCTTTCAAAATTTTGTTGGAGAGGTTTTCTGTGGTTCCTGATGCTCTTTGCTTTTGGGTCAACAAGAGGCAAGAAGCTTTTTCCGGAGTATTTCAAAGAGAGAATTTTTGGGCCGCTACGAATGTAGCCGTCTTCCAAGTTTCTGGATTTCTCTGTCCACTGAGGACAATGGCTGCCAGGATTGGTGGCTGAGAAGGATGGGCATTGCAGCATTGGAAGCCTGTGCTCGGGATCAGAGTCAGTTTTGGGAAGCCGAAGCGCTCCTAAATCCTGGATTTTTAAACGTTTTTATTGGACTTGCAAATGGGGGAAGGGAAAAAACCCCCCAAACCCCCAATTGTTTGATCCTAAGAGGCCAGTCATTAATGCAAAACTTGATCTCACTACAGTGAGAACTGAGTGAAGACAAGCTGGTTTATACCGTAAAATCTTGAGTTCAGCTCCCAGAATTCCCTAGCCCTGGGGAATTCTGGGAGTTGAAGTCCACACAGCTTAAAGCTGCCTGTGGTTGTGAAATTTATTTATTTATTTATTTATTATTTTATTTCGAATTTATATACCGCACCTTCTCCCGAGGGATTCAGGGCGGTGTACAGCCAGATAAAAACATACAATACAAACATTAAAAACAATTAAAAGAATATATATTAATTTGGCCCCAGTTTAAAATGACAAACGAATTAAAAATACTGTATATTTCACTTGCTTTGGCCTGCGGGATATTTAATCACCGGTTGGCCTTTTCAAATAAACCGTGATATGAGGGAAGAAAGCGCCATTTCACGCTTTCTGGTTTTTGCTAAGGTGGTTGGTCGCAGAGGTAGTATTCAGCCGGTTCAGACCGGTTCGTGTGTACCGGTAGCAGCGAATGTGGGTAGGCCCACTCTCCCGCCCACCCTCCCCAGCGTAATGCCGTCCTGTTTAGTCATGTTTTCGAGCCCGGGCGCATACACGGAAGGTGTGCACACGAGCAAAGCGTATGTGCGGAAGGCCGGGCGTATGTGTGTGGAAGACACGCGCAAAGCGAGCATGCGAATGCGAATATGTGAAACCCACCGCTGGTCAGCCGAGCTTAAAAACACAAACGAAGGCAGGGAATGAAATAAGACACGATTTTAAATATGAAAAGGATTTCTTTCTCTTTGCCTGGTCCCCCCGCAATTTAAGCGGCCCTATTGGCCGTTGAAGCTCTTTGCAAAGTTTTAGCTGGCGGAGTTTCTCCTCAGCGTGTCTCGTCGCGGGTTTTTTTTCTCTTTTCTAGGATGGTGGTGGCCTTGTCCGTAACCCTCGGGCTGTTTGTGGTAGAGCTGGCCGGCTTCCTTTCCGGGGTGTCCATGTTCAACAACTTGCAAAGTCTGCTTTGTATCCTTTGTAAAGAAAACGAGGATCGGAGGACGGGCTGGGCTGAGAGAACCTCCCTTAAAAAAAACACTTTAGAAAAATGACTCGACCATAGAGACGAGCCGAACCCCAAAATCTTGAAAGCAAATTGCCCGGAAGGTGCCGCAAGTAATCCTCAATTTACGACCCGTTCATTTAACAATGACGACATGGGAAAAACTTTGACTTTGGACCTGTCCTCACACCGGTGACCGTCCAGCCACTTCTGAGACCGCGGGACGCTCGGCGACTGGTTTTTAGTTTAGTTTTCGTTTACTTTGTTGTCGTCGCACCTCGTACAGAGAAATTAAATGCTATCTTCAGTGTACATTACAGCTACCCTATTTCCCCGAAAATAAGACCCAACCGGAAAATAAGGCCTAGCATGATTTTTCAGGATGCTCGTAATATAAATCCAAAAATAAGCCCCAGTTAAGATTGTCAGTCAGATGGATGTATTTAGTACCGTATTTCCCTCCCAAAATAAGACCTAACCAGAAAATAAGCCCTAGTGCGTCTTTTGGAGCAAAAATTAATATATTTTTGGGGAAACGCGGTATAAGAAGTTGGTTGGCCTTGGCGAACGATGGCAGCGTCTTGGCTCGTTTCCAAGTCGGAAAGATAATGATGATAATTTCTTGGATTTATAGCCCATCTGGCTTCCAGGCCCTACGTGACCATTTAATGAAGGATAGGGATTAACGAAGGTAGGAAAGCAAACATTTCAGATTAAGGTCACCTGCTTTGATTAAAGGGAATTACAGGTAGTCCTCGGGTTACGACCGCAACGGCGCTCAAAATTCCTGTTGCTGAGCAAGACGGTGGTTAAAGAGATCAAGATGGCGGCCATCCTCCTTCCATATCTGGTTGTCGCCTCCTCAATGCCAACATCCTGACCTTACACTGTCAATTACATTTTTGGTCTCAGGAATTTGTTAAAAGCGAGTCACTGCAGGTGTTAAGTTAGTAACCCAGCTGTTAAGGGAATCTCTCTACCCCGGAGACTTTGCTTGACGGAAGGTCGCAAAAGGGGATTGCGTGACCCCGGGACGCTGCGACCGTCATAAATACGAGCTGGTTTGCCAGGCACTTCGATTTGGATCACGTGACCACGAGGATTGCTGCAACTGTCATAGGTGTGAAGAACGGGTCATAAGTCACTTTTTTTTCGGTGCTGCTGTAACTTTGAACGGGCACTAAATGAATCGTTGTAAATTGAGGGCTACCAGTATTCCTTTCTGTCTCCTTATTTCCCAGCCGTTCAAGAGTTAGGAAGTTTGCTACACAATTGCTTCCCTGATTTATCTACCTTCCTACCTATCTTCCTTCCTTCCCCCTCCATCTTTAATTCCCTTTCCTCCTTCCTTCACTCCTTCCTTTCCTCCTCTCCTTCCTTCCCTCCTTCAGTCTTTTTTCCTCTCCTTCCTTTCCTCCTTCCTTCCCTCCCCTCCTCTCTTCCCTCCTCTTTTTCCTTCTTCCTTCTCTTTCTTTTCTGTCCTCCTCTCCTTCCTTCTGTCTTTTTTCCTTCCCTCCCTTTCCTTCTTCCTTTCCTTTCCTCCTTCCTTCCTTCCCTCCCCTCTTCCTCTCTTCCCTTCTTTCTCTTCCCTCCCCTTCCTTCCTTCTTCTCTTTTTCTTCCTTCCCTCTTTCCTTCTGTCTTTTTTCCTCTCCTCCCTTTCCTTCTTCCTTCTCTCCCTCCTTCCTTCCTTCCCTCCTTCCATTTTTTCCTCTACTTCCTTTCCTCCTTCCTTTCCTTTCCTCCTTTGTTCCCTCCCCCTCCTCTTCCCTCCCCTTCTCTCTTCCCTCCCCTTCCTTCCTTCTCTTTCTTTTCCTTCCTTCCCGCCTTCCTTCTGTCTTTTTTCCTCTCCCCCCTTTCCTTCCTCTTTTTTCTTTCCTCCTTCCTTCCTTCCCTCACCCTCCTTCTCTCTTCCCTTCCCTTCTCTCTTCCCTTCCTTCCTCCTTCCTTCCTTCCCTCTTTCCTTCTGTCTTTTTTCTTTTCCTCTCCTCCCTTCCTTCTCTCCTTCTGTCTTTTCCTCTCCCTTTCCTCCTCCCTTTCCTTTCCTCCTTCCTTCCCTCCCCCTCCTTCTCTCGTCTCCTCTCGTCTCCTCTCTCTCTCTTCTTCCCTCCCTAAATCCTGCTTCAGTCCCTGTTGAGCAGAGCCACGCTTTCAACCGCTGAGCCCCAGACCCAGACGGATCCCTGGCGCTCTTGCCCAGCACCAAAGCCCACCGTGTTACTCCAGAGCATTGTGGACGGGTCTGCCTTCCATGGTTGTTGTGCTCCCTGACCGAGCCTCCTCTCTTCCCAAGCCACCTTGGCTCACGCTTCGGCAGGAGTCGCGCTGCTCTTCTTCCTGTTCGAGCAATGGGATGCCAGCATCTACTGGTGGATCTTTGCGTTTTGCAGGTTGGCTGTCATCCATCCCCCCCCACCCCCAGAAAAAAGAGCGAGAATGGCAGAAAAAGAAGCTCAGTGATTGTGTTCTTACAACTGGTTCCATTCAGCCAAATAATTCTGCGTGGCCCGGAAATACACCCATTGGCTTAGCAGGTTGTCTGGACCAGGCCTTTAGGATAATCCAATTTTGACCCTTGCAGCGTGACTAGTCTCTATTTCTGAAGATTTTTCTTCTGCCACCATCCCATCCCCATTTCAGACAAATTCTAAAATCCTGTGAAAATGGCTGAGGATGGCGGACCTGTTTCTAAGGCAGGAATCATCATTTTCATTTAATGATCCCGTAATCCCTTGCGGGGTGGAGTCTTGGGCAACTGAATATGAGCCGAGTGTTTACTGGCCGGATGCCTTTCCTGTCGCCAGTGCTGAGTTATATTCAGCAGATATATTCTCATCGTGCCCAGAGAGAGAAATATCTGCCTCTACCTAGGATCGAACTCACAGCCTTCTGATTGTGAGGCGAGAGCTCTACCTTTAGATCACCCGCACCACCCTTCCAAAACAGGAATCCCTTTTAAAAACATTTGAAACAAATCCCTCCATTGATTTCCCTGACGGTGTCTTCATTAGCGTTGGCCGCCCACTGCAGTGCTTCCGTCTGCCTCTCCTTCTTCGTCTTTGAGCGCTGGGAGACAGTCACGTACTGGTACATCCTGGGCTTTTGCAGGTAGATGCCTGTCCCTGCGCGGTCGCCAATTTCTTCGCGAGGGTTTGGAATTCGCCCCAGTAAGAGGGATGCTCGTCTTTGAGGGATACTGATCCTTCCCTCTCTTTTCGTCCCCTCTGCCCCAGTGCCTTACCTGCTGCTGTCGAGATCTGCCTTTTCATCTCCGTCTTTGGACTCAAGAAGAAGCCGTTGTGAAAAGGAGGACGAGGGCGACAACTCCTGGCCAAAAAGAGACTTCTCGTTCGGATGATCCCAGGGCAGGGAGAGCTCGAACAGAGCATGAGACGGAGGTCAAATGTTCTTTCATTTAGGACTATTGGCTGTTTCTGGTTTTCAGCTCCATCTTTGCTCACCCCTCAATGGACCAAAAAAACAAAAAAAACAAACAGCTGGATCTTCTGCAGAGCTCGGGCTCCTTCAGGGCAAACTCCTAGTATTGTATCTGTGATGGCACTCCGATATTTCATCAAGGGCAGTATTTACCAACCTTGGCAGCTTTAAGATGGGAGCTTCTTGAACGAGAAGCGAAACGTCTTCAAAGAAAAACAAGGAAGTCCAGTTTCCTCTTGACAAGGTACTTTTTGGGACTTTAAGATGGATGGACTTTCCTTCCTTCCTTCCTTCCTACCTACCTACCTTCTACAAACCGGCTGAGGAATTCTGGGAGTTGAAGTCCACAAGTCTTCTACACCCCCGTTTTAACCTGAAATCTGAATCGGTTAAGAAGGCGATATTGTGTTTCCCAGAAACATCTCACGTGCCATGATACAGCTTTTTCTGTGGTAGAGCTGACATCCTCCCCTTCAAAACTACACAACCTGAAATTGGGGTGCGAAAGCAAGGATTAAAAAGTGGAGGGAAATGCCATCTCCTCCCTTCGTTTTGCCAGAAAAATTAAAAAAATAATCCCCTGGGGATCTTGATTTCATTTTCCCTTGTTGCATCCAAAACAATTTCACATACACACACGATATATATACAGTATATCAGCAAAATATAAATCGTATAAAGTGGTTTGTCGTGATTTACCGACAAACCTAGATTTACCCAGAATTTCAATGATTAAGCAAGGCTGTTGTTAACGAGAGCTGTATTGGGGGTTTTTCATCACCGTCGTTAAGGAAATCACTGAATCATGTGGTCGTTAAGTGAATCCCAGGGACTTTGCTTGTCAGAAGCTGGCTGGGAAGATCACAGATGGCAATCACGTGACCCTTGGACGTTGCAAACGGTCGTAAATCCATGCTGGTTGCCGAGGATCCAAATTTTTGATCACATGCTTGATTGCCGAGGACCCAAATTTTTGATCACATGTGTCAGGTTTCGAGGTCGTCTCAAATAAATTGCATTTCAAACAAAGTCTTTGATGAAAAACTCCCATTTATTAAGCACGACATTCTAACTCCGACTTCATCGTAGCCAACACTGACTTCCTGACCCAAAACCCTCCCTTTCCTTTCCCCACTCCTCTGCACTCATTGGCCATCTTCCAAGTCACTCTACCCCTAATCTACTGCTCCAGCTCAAAGGAATTTCCTCCCTCCCATCCCATCTCCTAGGGGATATTATCTCCAGGGAAAATAAGTAGGTGAAAAGTCAAACGTCCTTTTCCAGACGCCTCCGCTTCTCCTTATGTCAGCACTAGAGTAAATGCAGCTTGAAGTGCTGACATCATGCTTGGTTGCCGAGGACCCAAATTTTTGATCTTATGTCTGGTTGCCGAGGACCCACATTTTTGATAATATGCCTGGGGATGAATTTGTTGTTAGTCGCAAAGTCATGTCCGACCCATAGTGACCCCATGGACAACGTTCCTCCAGGCCTCTACCATCCTCCGGAGTCCATTTAAACTCCCGCCGACTGGTTCAGTGACTCCATCCATCCACCTCGTTCTCTGTCGTCCCTTTCTTCTGTTGCCCTCAATCGTTCCCAGCATTAGGCTCTTCTCCAGCGAGCCCTTCCTTCCTTCTCATTAAGTGGCCAAAGGATTTGAGTTTCCTCTTCAGGATCTGGCCTTCTAAAGAGCAGTCAGGGTTGATCTCTAGGACCGATCGGTTGGATCGCCTTGCAGTCCAAGGAACTCGCGGGAGTCTTCTCCAGCACCAGAGTTCAAAGGCCTCCATTCTTTGGCGCTCAGCCTTTCTTACGGTCCAACTTTCACAGCTGTACATTGTAACTGGGAAAACCATCGCCTTGACTATACACACTTTGGTTGGCAGGGTGGTGCAGGGGTGAAATCCAGCAGGTTCTGACAGGTTCGGGAGAACCCGTAGCGGAAATTTTGAGCAGTTTGGAGAACCAGCAAATACCACCTCTGTCTGGCCCCAGAGTGGGGTGGGAATGGGGATTTTGCAATATCCTTCCCCGTGGAGTGAGTAGGGAATGGAGATTTTGCACTATCCTTCCCCTGCCACACCCACCAAGCCACGCCCACAGAACCGGTAGTAAAAAGATTTGGATTTCACTACTGGGATGATGTCTCTTTAGCTTTTTAGAATGCTGTCCAGATTTGCCATAGCTTTCCTCCCCAGGAGCGTCTTTTAATTTCTTGGCTCCAGGCCCGGTGGAGAAATTTACTACCTGTTCTGTGGCTTGGTGGGTGTGACAGGGGGAGGATACTGTAAAATCCCCATTCCCACCCCACTCCAGAGGAAGGAGACTGCAAAATCCCCATTCCCTCCCCACTCCTGGGGGAAGGATACTGCAAAATCTCCATTCCCACCCCACTCCAGGGGAAGGAGACTGCAAAATCCCCATTCCCACCCCACTCCACAGGAAGGATACTGCAAAATCCCCATTCCCATTCCACAGGAAGGATACTGCAAAATCTCCGATCCCACCCCGCTCCGCGGGAAGGATACTGCAAAATCTCCATTCCCACTCCAGGGGAAGGATACTGCAAAATCCCCATTCCCTCCCCACTCCTGGGGGAAGGATATTGCAAAATCTCCATTCCCACCCCACTCTGGGGCCAGCAAGAGGTGGTATTTGCCGGTTCTCCAAATTACTCAAAATTTCCGCTACAGGTTCTCCCGAACCTGTTGGATTTCACCCTGTGGTGATCTTGGAGGCCAGGAGAACAAAATCTGTCACTCCCTCCATTTCTTTCCCATCTATTTGCCCTGGGGATGAATACACCATACTATCCAAACGTATATTGATGAATAGATTATTCAATTCAAATCAAATCTTTATTGTCAGCGCACAACATACGTACAAAAAATGCAAAAATACAAATATATTTTTATTCGTCTTCAGGGTGGGATTTAAATCTCTCCCAGCTGTTGTTTAGCCCTCCCAGTAGCTCCCAGTCCTCCTCGCTTGGCTTTCTCCTTTTTTCCAGTTGTCCAAACGCATTTTTGGAAGATTAGATGGAGGCAACTCAGTTGCAAGCAAAAATCCCAATTCAGGAAAGCGCTCCGGGCATTTAAAGAGAATGACGTCACCGAGCTATTTTTTTTAAAACGGGCGAGACGTCAAATTTTATGCAAATCGCGCGGCGCATGGATCGCTGGGAAATTTAATCGGCGCCGCTACCGGGAGGGGTTTGGGATGTTACCGAGAACAACGGGAGCCGGTAAAAGAAAAGGCGACGGCGAGGAAGGGTCTCTTCGCGAGGAGGATGGGGGCGCGGAAAAAAAAAATGCCTGCCGGAGTCACCATGACTTTGCGGGTCGTCCCGCGGAGAGTAGCCGCCACGGGGCAACATAAGCGGGTATCGTCAGTGAGGTATATCCTTACCTGTTCCTCCTCCGGGAGAACAGAAAATGATGAATGGAGAGGCATGAGAGATGATTAGAGTCTCCGCCAGCCGGGGAACAGCAACACCCCGGTTTGCTCCTTTCTGATTTTCCTGACGGTCTCTTGCTATTCGTGTTTGCTTAAAAAATAAAAGCTAACGTGCGAATCCACCTGACGCGTGTTCGATACTGAACTGCGGGTGGAATGGAGGAAAGACGCTCCTTTGCTGACTCGGAAGTTGCGCGTTTCCTAACCAAAACAAATTTTTTTTTTTTACTCGGTTTGGTGGTTTTTAATTTGCCAACTATAGCTCCCATCATCCGCGGCCGCTTACTATCTATCTCCTTTGTTTATTCCGGCTTGATCCTTCTGCCCCGTTTAATAAGGATTGTGCGCGATCTCCTTTCTGATTGGCCAATACGCCTTTCTGTTTTAACAACCTCCTTTTATCGCCTTTCTGATTGGCCAATACGCCTTTCTGTTTTAACAACCTCCTTTTAAAGCTGCGCGTCATTCATTGGCTTGTTTCTTACGTAAATTCCGCCCCTTTCTCGGTCATTTTTAAATGGTGCTTTTTTTTTTTTTGACTATAATCTCCCGAGCCTCTCAAAATGGCCGGTTTTTATCTCCCGAGTTAGCCTTCTTCTTCGTCCTGATTGGCTAAACGTGTGGGGGCGGGGAGTCTTCAAAACAAAACAAAAAATCGGGCCAATCCGTAACTTCCGCCAGGGGTCCAAATCCCACCCGCTCTGACGAATCGGCTTTCGAGGAAGGAGCCCCTCCCTTTCGTAGAGGGAGGATTGTCCAATGGAGCCTCAACAAAAAAAGAGCCGGCCAATAGAAAGCCGGAGGCTCGACGAAGGGCGGCGCTGTCTTTCAAACCAATGAAACGGCGCGTTGGGTGACGTCTTGCTTTGCGGCAGCCAATAGGATTCCGGGAGGGATATTTGAAAAAACAAGAAAGCCTGGCTGGTCTCGGGCTGCCTCCGGCAGCGGTTCTCTTGGCTCCGGGAAATCGGTAAGAGATGCGGGAGGCTTAGGAGAGCCGGGATGCGGGGGAAACTCCGAGAAAGCAGTTGCTCGGGCGCTGATTGAATTGGTTTGGCCGTGGAGGATGGGGGTTGTAGTCCAGCGCCTATAGGGAGCGTCGATCGGGTATGGAGAGGGATACCAGCGGTTACAGCCCGGAAACACCCCGCCTGCCTTTTCCCCTTGCTAACCACCCGCCCTCCGAATGCGCTGGACTACCAATCCCATCATCCCCTACTATGCTGGGTGGTGGTGGTGGGGGCTTGGTCGGCCAGGGAAGGTGCATCTGAAGGGTTGGGGGCGTTTGGGGTCGCTGGAGATGGATAATAATAATAATCATCATAATCATAATCATAAATTAATAATAATTAATAATAATAATAATAAATTAATAATAATAATAAATTAATAATAATAATTAATAATAATAATAAAAATTAATAATAATTTATTTATTTATTTATTTATTATATTTCTATACCGCCTTTCTCCCGTAGGACTCAAGGCGGTGTACAGTCAAGAAAAATATAGACTAATAATAATAAAATATAATAATAATAATAATAATAATAATAATAATAATAATAAATGATAATAATATTAATAATTTTTGTTTTTGTTTTAATTGTTTTATTAAATTTATATACCGCCCTACTCCCGAAGGACTCAGGGCGGTGTACAGTCAAGAAAAATATAGACTAATAATAATAAAATATAATAATAATAATAATAATAATAATAATAATAATAATTTTTGTTTTTGTTTTAATTGTTTTATTAAATTTATATACCGCCCTACTCCTGAAGGACTCAGGGCGGTGAACAGGCACAGAATAAAATACAGAAATACAAAAGTTAGAAACATAATTAAAACCAAATGAAATCATTTAGCCCAAGACAATTAAAAATCCCAATAATTTAAAACAAATTAAAATTTCAATTTAAAAATTTAAAAGAAAGGGGAAAAAATTAATAAAATTGATGATGATGATAATAATAATAATAATTGGTTGGGACTCGAGCTGCTGAGCTATTAACCAGCCTCAAAGGCTGTGAATCTCATTAAAGATTAACCAATAATAATAATAATAATAATAATAACAAAATTGGAAGGGACCTTGGAGGTCATCTAGTCCAACCCCCTGCTCAGACCTATACTAGGGATTCGAACTGCCGACCTTTCTGATCGACAAGCTCAGTGTCTTAGCCACTGAGCCAACCGTGGGAACTTTTTAAGACGGGTGGACTTCAACTCCCAGAATCCCCCAGCCAGCCACGGCTTAAAAAGTTCCCACGGTTGGCCTGGCCTGGGACAACTTAAATTATCCTGCTTATTTCTAAAGATAAAATGGGGAACGGGCACACAAGGTAACCAAAGCTGGTTAGTCGGAAGCGACCCAGCGATAAAAACCCAGTTAATAAGAAGCCATCATTCGATCTTGGTTTCACATTAGAACAGCGGCGGAATTAAAAGACTGGGTTCACTCCATGGGAAGACGTTGTAAGGCCGTAATCCATGCTAAAGATCACCCAACGAAGCATTAACCAGGGTGGATTTGATTTAAATCGAGTTGATTTTTAATCACGATTTAAATCACGACTTAAATCACTAGTAAAAAGGCTTGATTTAAATCAACTCGATTTAAATCATAATTTTTAAAGAGCAACTGTCATCTCTGCTACTCCTTTGACCCACTGTTGACTCACCGATCGTCCCAGCG